CGGGGGTGTGTACGGTGTGTGTGTATGTATGTATGTATATACAATGCGCCGCGCCGTCCCGAAATCCCATTCTCCCCCCCCCCTCTCTCCCACGCAGTCAACCCTCGATTCGAGCCCTCGCGATTCACCCTATGCGCCCCTCTCGACTTTCCCCCTCCTCGCCCCCTGGTCGCGATTTAATTCCACGCGCGCCCCCTTCGACTTTCCCAAATTCCTCCCCCATCGCAATTCGTCCCTATTTTGCGCGGACTTTTTGACTCACCGTTTCCCATCCTTAATTCCAGGGTTGTGCATCTATGCGTAAAATATAATACTCTATGTTTACGTGTAGGACAACGTAAGCTATTGTATAAGTGTCATCTATATAGATTGTAGACAGTCAGCCGGGAAAAAAAGTTCCACATATAATTATATATAATTATATATAATTATGTACAAAATATGTCCATGTATATTCATATATTTCTTTTCTTTGTAAAATTATTGTTTGATACAAAAAAAATGATAATAATAAAAAGAAATAATAATTAGGTACATATAAAATACATAAAAAATAATTGAAAAGATAATTTTAGCATTTTTTTTTCAAAAATTCAAGTTTTAAAAAATGAGAAAACATTGTTCATATATAAATATACATATATGTATATTTTTAATCATTTATATATAATTATATATGAGCAATTTTTCTCATTTAAAACTTGATTTTTTGTAAAAAAAAAACAATATAACAATTACCCTTTTAATTATTTTTTATGTTTCCCTCTTATTGTAATATATATTATCATTTTTTGTATTAAAGAATAATTTTACAAAGGAAAGAAACATATATAGATATACATATATGGACATATTTTGCATATAATTATATGTGGAATTTTTTTTCCCGAGCAATAGACTATAGTCTATTTAAAAATATATATATATATATATATGTATTTATTCATTTAACAAATACATATAATTTAACGTTTATGTAAAAAAAACTACCATTTGAGTAAGAAAAATTCTCTGGTTACATTCTTAATCTTAATCTCGTTAATAGTTAAATTAATGTTCAAACAAAATACATCAAGAATATCCTAAAGATGTCGTGGTATCTTTAGCCCTTATCCTTGATACATTTTGGACATTTCTATTGTGGCTATAGAGACTGCTTTATAATTTAATTCTTTTATATTGTATATATTAGTGATACAATTTACAATATAATCTACATTATAGTTTACAAGTCTAGATTGTCTACGTAACAAAAAGACCATGTAAACATCACGTAGATTTCACGTAAATAATCCGTGTAGACGTAATCTTGAAATCTATGGCACAACCCTGCTTAATTTATTCCACCCCCCCCCCCTCCCCTACCGGAAAGAAACAGATCACTCGAGGTGGAAACGGATTAGGATTAATTTCTTAAGAAAAGGACAAAAATGTGTTAAATGTGTGGCTCGTTACGTCGATTAACTTTAAATAATATTTATATAATCAACGCTCTTGCTGAGACAGTGATTGAACTTTTTCCCTGCGATTTTAGGTAAAAGGTGAATTTGTTAATTAAAGAAAGTCATTTTTTTAAAACATGCTATTTATATTTTTATAAAGAATGTTCTAAAAAATAAAATTATCTTATGATCTATATATGTACATATTCTAGATGAGCTAAAAGAATTATACTGCATGTATTAATTATAGTATTTTGCACGTCTCAACGATCTATATATAATCAACACTAGCTGAGACAGTGATTGAACATTCTCTGCGATATTATTAGATAAAAGGTAAATTTGTTAATTAAAGAAAGTCATTTTTTTCTGAAACGTTATTAGAAATATTTATACGATACATTTTTATAAAGTATATTCTAAAAAAATATTTGTCTGATCTACGTATGTTCTATATGATAAAAGAACTCTACATATATTAATTACAGTACTTTGCGCATCATAACAATCTATATAATCTAACACTAGCTGAGACAATGATTGACCATTTCCTGCGATTTTAGATGAAAGGTAAATTTGTTAATTAAGGAAAGTCATTTTTGTAAAACGTGTTATTTATATGGATGCATTTTTATAAAGTAGATTCTAAAAAAAAATTGTTTTATGACCTACATATATTCTACGTGATAAAAGAACTCTACATATTAATTATAGTACTTTGCGCATCTTAACAATCTATATAATCAACAACTAGCAACTAGAGACAGTGACTGCATGAACTTTCCCTGCGATTTTAGGTAAAAGGTAAATTTGTTAATTAAAGAAAATCATTTTTCTGAAACGTGTTATTAGAAATATTTATACCATACAATTTTCTAAAGTATGTTCTAAAAAAATATTTGTCTTATGATCCATGTATTCTAGATGATTACAGAATGATATGTATATTAATTATAGTACTTTGCACATCTTAACAATTCATAAAACTTTTATCTCCAGAGTCTGTTCAACAATATACACATTGCAATGCACAACCCACCGATTGGAATGCTGTACAATGCATGGGAATGCTCTCGACTTTTGCTAGGCTGTAAGAAAGAAATTTGAGCAATTTCTTAAAATTAGATGAAGATATAAGAGCTGTCAAATAAAACAAGATACGTATAATAACGTATCTTATTTTCAACAAAAATTCGTCAAGTTTCTTATTACGAGATATTTAATTGTCCACTCATTAATTTGAAGAATGCAAAAATTTCATAAATTTCATATATTTGTTGATACGTACCGTAACTATCATAGCTTCCAACTCTTTCAATTTCAACTCAGCCTCGTTGATTTCTTTGAAAGCGGCGTCAGCAGCCGCACACAAAACTTGAGAAGCACGCAGAGCCTTGTCTGGATCAATGAAAACGTTGATTCTCTCTTTCTTCAGCTTCATCTTGCAGTACTTGACAAAGTCTTGAATTATACTCAACTGCCTCTCGCCTATCTCCAGTATCTCCACTTTATCGAGTATTCTGTAAGGAAGGCAAGAGACTTTCAATTTCAGTTCCAATACTACATATAATATATGAGCTTTAATAATAATTTATCCTACCTATGATGAGGTTTCGCCTTCACACTGGATTCTTTTTTCTTAGAAATACATAGAGCCTTGACTACATTTTCTGCCTGATCTGCATCAGCACCTGTAAACAGCTTCTTATTATCATCATTCTTTGTATACACACGCACACACATATATATATATACATATATATATATTCGCGTGTCACAAAAGAACAAAGTGAGAAACAATGACGTCGCGTAGATTTCGCGTTTTACAGCAACAAATAATATAATCCAAATAAAAATTCAAATTTGAATTAATTATATTTAACTATATTTAATATTAAGAACTATATTTAGAAGCAATTAGACTTTCTAGTGGAAGAATTAATTATTCAAGGATTTTTCCGAGATTCGAAATTTTTGGAAAGTTATATATTCTAAAACAATTAGAATCCACTTTGCATCTCTCTGTGGCTCATTTCTATCAATGTAGACTAACTTCATGTCGATTTAACTTACTCTTTATTTTTCTCTCGTTCTTAGAACTAAAAAAAAACAAAAAAAAGATGAAAACTAAGTTAAACCGAGATTAAAGTTCGTCTCACGTTGGTAGGAAATGGATATCCGTCCAAGTTTTGTACCTGTGGACTTTAACGAATTAACTTTTCACGGAATTTTCACGAAAATATCATACGCGCAAAATGTAATCACAGGAAAATTCAAGTCTCTGTAGACAGAGAGTGCCGAGTGTGAGACTGTGACAATTGTCAGTTAATAAACATATATTATATGTACCAAGTTGCACAAAATCCTCCTTGGTCAACTTGTGCAACGCGTCCGTCGATATGTTCCTCCTTCTGCATTCCTTCACTAAATTCTCGGCCCCGACGCCGCGCAACAACGCCTCCGTCTGCCTGGTGAATCCTAGAAGATCGAGATCCGCGCCCATCCTTTCGCAAAGTGAAACAATTTCATTCGGAACTCGGAGCTTCAAAAAAAATAAAACTAAAAAATATTGCGCCTCTACTGTGGTCCACTAGTGCCGGTGTTTCTTTGTATACAAACATTGGATCGCGGAGAAGCGCTCCGTACCGACGACAGTTTAGCGTGTCAGAGAGGAACTACAATCGCGGCAAGGCAACGCGTCGGCAATGCAGATCCCGCATTCCCGAAGGTAATTGCAGAGTGTCGATGTTATCGACTTTTGTCATTAAATTTGCGATTTATTTGAATAATACCAGGCATCGTGCATCTATACGCGTAAAATATAATACTCTGTTTACGTGTAGACAACATAAACTATTGTATAAGTGTCATCTATGTAGACTGCAGTCAGTAGACTATATACATATTTATTTATTTAATAAATACATATAATTTAACGTTTATGTAAAAAAAAAACTACCATTTGAGCAGGGTTGTGCATCTAAAATATAATACTCTACGTTTATACGTGTAAACAACGTAAACTATTGTAAAAGTGTCATCTATGTAGACAGTCAGTAGACTATATATTAATTTATTCATTTAATAAATATATATAATTTAACATTTATGTAAAAAAAACTATTATTTGAATAAGAAAAATTCTCTAGTTGCATTTTTAATCTTAATCTCGTAGTTAAATTAATGTTCAAAATACATCAAGAATATTCTAAAGATGTCGTGGTATCTTTAGCCTGTTCCTATGATACATTTTGAACATTTCTATTGTGGGTAGAGACTGCCTTATAATTTAATTTTTTTATATTCTATATATTAGTGATACAATTTACAATAGTCTACATGATTTACAAGTCTAAATTGTCTATAATGTACTACAAAAAGACCATGTAAACATCACGTAGATTTCACGTAAATAATCCGTGTAGACGTAATCTTGAAATCTACGGCACAATCCTGCATTTGAATAAGAACAATTCTCTGGTTACATTTTTATAATCTTAATTTCGTAATTAAATTAATGTTCAAAATACATCAAGAATATCTTATAAAGATGTCGTGGTATCTTTTATAGCCTGTTCTTAGATACATTTGGACATTTTTACTGTGGATAGAGACTGTTTTATATAATTTAATTCTTTTATATTGTATATATATTAGCGATACAATTTACAATATTCTACATAGTTTACAAGTCTAGATTGTCTACGTATAGTAAAAAGACCATGTAAACATCACGTAGATTTCACGTAAATAATCCGTATAGACGTAATCTTGAAATCTACGGCACAACCCTGAATAATACATTATTAAGATCATGTTTTTTATTATATAAATGCTTTATAAATGTGAGTATGAATACTTATAATGCTGTAATATTATATATATTGCCGCAAAATTACATTTTTTTCCAACTGTTTTACCATCTCTTTGGATAATCAAACGCAGATGGTAACTATAAAAATGCAGTTTTAAATAAAATTATTTAGCAATATTGCAGATATAATACAGATGAATTACAATCTAAAAAAAATTGATCTATTAATAAATCATAAAATTTATTTTATATTATTGACTTATATAATTGCTTAAATTTTATTATAAATATAAATTACACGCTAACTCCCGTAAGGCTGTCGGTCGTCGGTGAGTGTGTCGATAAGTGCAGATTCCTGCGGGCCGGGCGCGCGGGAACCCGACCGCGACGGCGATGACGCGATCGCGCGGCGGCGCGTCAGCTGCAAAAAACTATACACAATCCTATAGGAGACCTGGTACCAATACTACCTGTAGTGGTCGTAAAGTTGTAACGTGTAGTAGTGCGTGAAACGTCGCGCTAAATATACGCCCCGCTTGACAGTCGCGTCGCGCTCTCCCGTTCTCTCTCTCTCTCTCTCTCTCTCTCCTTGCCCGGAGTGATGACAACCCTGATACTCGGCGTCGGCGTGGGATTATTCGTCATCCTCAGCCTGTGGGTGCTCGCCGCGCTGATATTCGTCGTGTCGTTGCGCGTCGAGAGGAAGGTCGGCGCGATCGCGATACTGCTCGTGAGCGCGCTCACGATTGTCCTGCTCAGTGTTCCGCGCGCGTCCGAGAAGCCCGCTCCCGCGGACGGCAAGGTACGATATACCTGTAATCGGTGGGGATTACGTTTATTTTTTTTTTTCCTCGAGGAATTACGTACAGTGCTTTCGAGCGCGGCACGTCCGCCGCACTTCCTTCGGTGTGCTCCATTCGTGTTCCCGATTGCACGTCGATGGGCGCGATCTCGGCCAGACCCCCGATCAACGATTATTCGACTCGAGCACCTGTATTTTCCACAAGTGCCTCCTTGGCGTGAATGGAGTTGTCAATTTTTTGTCCAGAAAAATGATCAGCAAGGGCGAATTGTGCAAAAGGGAATCCGGCGAACGCAGATCGTGATTGCGATGCCACAGTAATATTGCGATATTTTTGCAATATAGCTGCAATGTTATAATATCGCTGCAACATTGCAATTATAATCTGTATCTGCTGGGATAATCTTGCTGGGAGCAATTCTGTCGAATTAATTGTCGTTTAAGCTAATCGGAGTAGCGCTCGTTCAAATTGCTTTAATAATTAACGCAAATTGCTTTCGCTAATTAATATACGTGCTCTTTCGAAATCCGAAGTTTCTAAATCACTTTCCACGGTCGGCTTTATTTTGCAGAATAATTATAATTTAATTTTACTGACATCGATTGTAATCGAAAAAATTATTGGGATAAAAATAGTTATTGCAACATTAAAGAGTAACAGGAGAAAAATTCAAAAGGTTCCCAAATAATATAAATCAAGAAAAGAAGGAGAGAAAGAAAAAAATTCTCTTTCCTTCTTGAATCATAAAAGAGTTATAACGAAATAAATTATGTAACCGAGTGTTTATGCAATTACTCCTAAATAGATTATTCTTATTTTGCAGGTGTACGACCGACTTTTCGTCTGGCGCGTAGTACTTTTGATCTTACTACTTGTCTCGTCCGTAATTTCCCTCGTGGGATACATCAAGTACGGATTGGTGGAAGCCGTTAGACCAGTTAGGATATCCAGCTGGGTTCTCTAGACGCCTACTCTTCGGTATGTCATAAATTAATAATGCAACGAAAACGCGATGTGTCAATCATTATGATAAAATTGAAACTTCCTGTTAGATAAAAAAAAAATATGCACTGTCATATATAATTGATGTTACTGTAGCAATTTTTTTTCCCTCAGGTACTTTTGCTCGCCGACAAGCATGAAGACGTTAAACACGAGACTTAATTTGTAGATGTAAAGCTATTCGCATATATATATAATCACCGACTGTTCACCTCGTGTTAACAAGTCACACATTAAACAGAAAGAACAAAAAAAGTTGAACGATGTTGTGCGGCATAAGAAACTGCATGCCATCCGTGGTGAGACGTATCTCATTGTTTCGCCAGAACAACAAGCGGTACCAGATAAATAACAACAGCGAGTTCGTGAACAAGGTCATGAACGGCGCGGTGCCGGTTATAGTCAATTTCCACGCGGAGTGGTGCAACCCGTGCAGGATACTGACGCCCAAGCTGATAGAGCTCATAGAGCCTATGGACAAGGTGGACCTGGCCATAGTCGACGTGGAGACGAATCCCGAGCTGGTGCACGTATTCGAGGTGAAGGCCGTGCCCGCGGTGATAGCGATCTCGAACGGCCTAGTCGTGGACAAGTTCATCGGTTTAGTCAACAACGAGATGATAGAGAGTTTAATACAAAAGCTGACGCACGAAGGACCACTAGCCAACGACGCGGAGGGCAACGACACCAAATCGTAGTCGTGTGACGGCATATGGTATAAATTATGTAAATGCACCACTTTTTACGCTTCCATTTCTCTCTATCGACTAAATGTATTTTCATACTTGTAGAGAGAATGTAACACTTGAAGCTATTTCGTCCAAGAATTATGGCCTTTTTTTATCTAATCATACTCAGATAAGCATCGTAGATAAAAAAAATTTTAGATATAAATATATATATATATATATATATATATATATATATATATGTTGTGTAAAATGGCAATATACAACTCTAACTTATTAACGAAGCTAATGCGTATTAATACTCATAAATCTGTTGATGTCCAGATTATATATTAATATATATATATTATATTGAAATATTTATACTTCTATTTAGATATTCTATAAAATACAGAGAGCTTGTTTAACAGCCTATATTCTTGAATCGACCAAAAAGATATTAGAAATTCTCCTAAAGATGTTAATAAAATGAGGCATGTAAGGGAAAGATTCCCATATCATAGAAGAAATTATTGTAGAATCTATTGCGAAACTTGTGTGAAGCACTTGTGATATATATATATATATATCTTTTTTTTATAGACACGACTTTTTTCGATATATATCCTCGAGATAGCTGTTCGTATCTTCACTCTTGACATATTTATATAAGTGGCGTAATGAATCTAACAGGGAAATGAAAATCACTTGATGAATCGAACCGATAACGAATTAATTATGTGCAATGATGATAAATTTTCAAAGCGAATACGAATATTGCGTTACTTCGGACGTGTGACGATACATATTTTAAAAATACATATTTTAAAAATGCGCTTTATATACATATACATATATATTTTTCTGATGTAGTCTTAATTTCATTCAATAATATAATTAATAATAATAATAATAATGTTCAATAGATAATTTGTACGCTATTCTCTTAAATTGTACAAAATGTATATATTAATTTCGGTAAGTTGTTCAAGAGGCTAAAAGAGGACAGTTACTTCGCTAAATCGCGCATGATCGCGACGTGTGTGTATGTGTATCTTCGGTGGCAGTGCAGCCGAGATAAATCATTATCTAATCAGATTTCAATTTCTCGTTTATTGTTGATCATCGTGTACAATCAGTGTACGAAAGTACTGTCCATTAAAGATATAGTAGGCCAGAGATATAATAGATTATTACTCCACGTAAACTCTCTGGTGAAAGAGCACCCCTTTCGACCTCCCCCTTCCCATTCCCCTTTGCGTCTTTCGGCAGCAAGCGATACATAAATGTGTTACCAACAATTAAAAGACTAGCTATAATCTTTTTCGTCATCAGTCAGGTGTTTCTCAAGACACCATGATAAGGCAATGCTGTGATTCTGTGGTCACTTGCAAAAATTATTCCTCCTTTCGGCAAATATATATGTATATATATACATATATATATATATATATATATGTTTATATATACAGGGTGTCTTATGTTAAAGGATCCATTAAGATTTCTCGAAAACTACGATAGATAAATGTTTCGAACAAAAGTTGTATGACTTCAAGGGGCACATAAAGTGGTTTGACCTTGGGAAGCGTAGTCAAAGTCAGAGAAAGGCCACTTTAAATTTTTTAAATGGAATCCTCATTTTTCATGGCATATTCTTAGCTTATCTCGAGAGCTTTTCAAAATATTATAATAAAATATTTTTCCATTAAAGAAGAGAAATCTTAATAAATCCTTTAAAATGGAACATCCTGTATAAATTAAAACACAATTATATATATATATATATATATATATATATAATTGTGTATATATTTTATGTATATATTATACATATATAAAATATAATATATACATATAATATATACACATATATACATACATCGCGGGTTTATGTATGTGCATGTATGTATACACATATATATTTTTGTTCTTCTACGCGAACAAACGAGTTAAGTGCTTTGGATTTATGCAATTTTTGCAAGCAACCCTGCGTTTACTTATCATTTAAATAACCATTATTTACGTCTCTCGTTTGTAACATTTATATAGGGAAACAAGTGAAGCCAGAAGTTGATTTATACAGAGCCTATATACAAAATTAAAAAGAAGAAAAGAAAAGGAAGAAAACGTAAACAATTCGTAATTTTCTCTTAAGGATAACATTACGAGATTACAAGACGCTTCGTTGCCCAATGGAGCATTACGTCAGTGCATTCACACACGATATATCCTTCGATCAATCTAACAAGTATCTAACGGGACGTCCATCGTAGACGTAAATGCACTGTCGACTAGCAATCCTGCGAGTGTAATTAAGTAGTCGCCAAGCGCGAGTTTCGTACGTAACTTTTTTTTTTTTGTACACGGGCACGGGCGTGGAAGTGAACGGAGATGACACCGCTATTATAATTTTCAGTGCACGCGGATATGTTCTGCCAGAGCGCGACTTCGTGGCCCCGCAAAATTATAACGCTCGAGTAGAATATATAGATCCTGGACGCTTATTCGAGGTCTGCGGCAATGCGGCGCGCGCACGCGCGCGTCACGCGACGAATACATATATTTACAATTTATACATCTACATTACTTAGTTTTTAAAAAAGAGTAATCGTAACAAAATGTAGAAAAACACGAATGATACTTTTTTTTTTATGTACAATTAATTCCTATCGATGCCACTTGTTGTCGTGCTCGCCGCTGGTACAGCAACAGCACGTTTGAAGAGATTTTCCCCCTCTCCCGTTTATACAGTACATCATTACATATCCATAAATAATACACCTCTACACTTTGCGGATTCGTTTTATCCCTTTTTCATTAACCGCCAAAAAATATATATATATATACCGCATTTACATTATAATTAGCAATTATCTCGACGCATTTACATTATTAGATTAGTGGAAGAGAAACGCGCCCGGAAACGCTACCCTTTTCTCTATTAACCGACAGTAAATAGATCTAGATATATCGGGCAACAAGTAACATCTGCTCCGTTCCGTTAAAATGAACTAATACATATTATAATATACAGTATATATGGTACAACATGATACACAATTCGATTTGCATTGAATAACTTGGCGATTGGCGGTTTTTTTTTTTATATTCTCATGCAACTCGCGAGAAATAACAATATATGTATATCTGTGATACTTACAAGGTGACAAAATATTCTTATATATCTATTTATATATATATATATATCTATCTGTTTCCTCTTTCTGTACAGTGTGTCAACTCTCTTGCAATATGTCTGCGTTTCGCGTCGAAATGTCCGATTGGCGAAACTTTCGTGATTCAATGACGATTCAAAGATGGAAAGAACGGGACGTTAAATCACGAGGAATATCATCGAACCGTTATTCTGCAAAACTTCTAAGTACAATATCAACAAAAATGAGACGTAATCGTAAGGGTTTGCGGCGACAACATGCCGAGACACGGAGGAAGTTTCGCGGGGGGGGAGACAGCAATCCTACGGTGAAGCAAGTGAAAAGTATCGCGGACTCCCCGATATTCTCCCGAAAAAAAAGAAGGAGAAACAAGAGACGCCAAGGCCGGTTTTACAATTCACGATTAACTCGATTTAAACGAAATTCAACTCGCTTTTGTCTTTTTCTAATCTAAGAATTAGAATTAGAGATAAACAGTAAGTTAAACCGAGTTTGAAATTAATTTTATACTTGTGGAATCCGGGCCTGAGCGTTGCGACTGTAACCGCATTGAAACTTGCCGATCGAGATATAAGTTAAGGGTATCACGTCGTGATCGAGCATGTCGTTGATCCGAGTCCCTCGATTTACGATCTAATGGCGAGTATTGACTTCGTGGAAGTAGGTAACTAGCGTTCTCAACATCAGTATGATACATTTGTTTGCGTTTAGAGATTAAATTTCCGCGCTTTCGCGGTCTTATTGGTACCGGGCACCCTCGAGAGCGAGAGTCAAACCCGCCGCCGCCGCCGGCGGGCTGCTGGGTTGACGCGCCACCGCAAGTCTACAAGTCGGCAGAATGAGCGTGCAAAAACGACGGTCGTGCGTTGTCACGTCCGTGCCAGAGATGTGCTAAACCTCCGCTCCCAGATCGCGCACGCCTTGCTCGGCTATCGGCACGTACTTGTCCTCGATCTTCACGAGCAGGATGACCTTGTCGACGTGCGACCGCCGATTCGGATCGCGGTGGTTCGGTGACCAGCGGTGAACCACGCAACCCTCCATGCCTCTCTCCGGTACCCAATGTTGCCAGCCGGAACGACCGCCTTGCTGTCGCATCCTTTCGTCCGGCCAAATCACGTCTATACGTCGGCCCAAATTGATAGCGTCGTATACTTGATTGGGGTCCATAATCTGTTCGAGAAAAACCGCCTCATTAATGATTCACGTATATAAAAAAGCTTCTCTAATATCTCTTTCGTACACCAATAATATCAAATCAAAGCAACTGACAGTATCAAATAATTAAAGCTACAACACTTAAATTTTGACAAAACTTAGCCTTAAATATAATTTAAAAAATTATTAACAATTCGTTGATTAGGATTCATAATCTGTTCAAAAAAAACCGCTTCATTAATAATTCACGTATATAAAAAAGCTTCTCTAATATCTCTTTCGTGTACCAATAATATCTAATCAAATAGCAACTGACTGTATCAAATAATTAAAACTACACACTTAAATTTTGACAAAACTTAATCTTAAATATAATTTAAAAAATTATTAACAATTCGTTGATTAGGATTCATAATCTGTTCAAGAAAAATCGCCTCGTTAATGATTCAAGTGTATAAAAAACTCATGTATATAAAATCTCTAGTATCTGTTCCATATACCATTAATACCTAATCAAATAGCAATTAACGGTATCAAATAATTAAAACTACACACTTAAATTTTGACAAAACTTAACCTTAAATATAATTTAAAAAATTATTAACAATTCGTTGATTAGGATCCATAATCTGTTCAAGAAAAATCACCTCCTTAATAATTCATATATATATAAAAGCATCTCTAATATCACTTCCGTATATCAATAATATCGAATCAAATAGCAACTGAGAGTATCAAATAATTAAAAAAACTACAACACTTAAATTTTGACAAAACTAGCCTTAAATATAATTTAAAAAAATTATTAACAATTCGTTTTTTTCTTTTAATTCGACAGCTCGGACTGATATGAATGAGAACGACTCTCAGATATTTCACATTTAATTTATAAGAGTCGAATGTAAAATCGCGATGCACGCAACGCTACGACACTTACGCGAACTCGTTGATAAACCTCCTCTTTCTCGAGCTTGCTGGAGAAGCTCGTCTCGCTCTTCGTTTCCATTTTAATATCATTACTACTGAGCAGTCCGGCCAAACTGGCGAGTGTCGAACTGGTTGGCTTCCCGACGGAAGCTAGCGAGCCTCTGTTACCACCGAGAGAGCCCGTGTTAGCACGACCGAGGGAACCCCGACCGGTCGAACCGCCGATTTGACAGCCAGACTCCATTGACTGAGAGCCAGAAGTGTTGTGACCCGATTGAGCGTAGCCTGCGTAATTTACATACATGAGTGAGAACAATATGACGCTGTCGTTGGAATTAAAAATCTATTGCAACAACGTTAATCGTTAATCATCAAATAAATGTCCGCAAATACCAGAATGTATGTTATATGTGGTCATCGCGTACACTCCGTCATTTCCGAAGCCTCCGTCGTCTTGCGAGCCAGTGCCGCCCGAGGAACAACCTTGGCCACATCTTCTTCTTATTCTACAAATGAGTAAAATTGAGCTGTCAGATTCAGGGATAATATTTATCATCTAAAATCCGAAATTAACCCTTACTTGCCACACTTCTGTGGCGTGACGTGCTTGACACACTGGGGTGGATTGCACCCCAGCACAAAAATTGTTATAACAAATAATCTATTAAATATTTTAACTTCAAAATTTTTTTATAGCTTCTCAAGAACTTACTTTTTAAAGTTATATGAGTGATATGGACAAAAAATAAAATTGAGTACTTTTAAAAATTCAAATATTTCTCAGGGTTACATACTTCAAATTAACGAAAAGTGGGCCTGGGGTGTGTTACACCCCCCAGTGTGTCAAACAAGGGTTAAATCGAGTCCGTAAATGGTTCGAAGGTGAAAAAAGACCGCCCCCACTCGCAACACGCACCTTCTCCATAATTTTAACACAGTACTCTTTATGGTGCCGAAAGTCAATGGTCCTCCGATTATAGAGCAGAAGTGTTCGTTAGTCTCGGCGTAGCTGGTTGTCAGAGGCGAGACGTAAATCGGATATCCGATCGGCTGATCGCAGGAACTGTTGATTATGTTCCTCAGAGCCTGCTTGGCGTTCTGTATCGAGCCGCGCTCCGGATTTCTGTTTCTCAGGTACACCAGCTCCTGCTGCTGGCCGGCCCAGAGTCCACGGACGCATTCGCGATTCATTTTGATCACGCGGAAGCTCAAGTAACGCTTGTTGAGCATTATCACCTTGTACTCGTCGATGCCGTCATCAAGCACGTGTCTGAAAGCAACGAGAACGTTCGTTTTAATTCTACGAGACGACTGGAAGAGGGCCAAGTCGAAACGTCTCGTTGCGAATTTTTGAAAAATTTAAATAGATATGTTAATTTACATCGACAACCAGAAAAATTTTTTGCTCGTTTATTGGCCTGAATCAACGTACCGGTTTTCGATAAATACAAGCAATAATTTTTATTAAGGGATCATCCCTGAGGTTTTAAAATGATATCTTAAGTTTGGGAATTTTTTATGGGTAAATGGATAACTTTAATTAATTTAAAATCTGCTTAGAGGACATTATATTGTACATATATAACAAAAAAGTTTTTATTTTTCTTATGTCCAAAATGGCACTGGCCTACACTTGCAGAATGCCTTTTTTTCTATCAGTGTACAGGATTCCAGACTCACGGTTGGACCTGAACAAAACACAAAGAATTTTCATTATCTACATATTAAAGACTGGAGAAGTACGTACGTAGGAATTTTTTTAAATATTAATTCTTCTCAAAATAGCAGCTATTTTACGAAAGACTTGTATTGACAAAAATACAAACTTGTCAAAATAGCTGCCATTTCGAGAAAAATCAATATTAAAAAAAAAATCCCTACGTACTTCTACTGTCTTTAATATGTAGATAATGAAAATTCTTTGTTTTGTTTAAAGTTAAACCGTGTACTTGGAATCCTGTACACCGATTTGGAAAAAAAAAGAGATTCCGTAAATAGGTTAGTGCGCTGCTATTTTGTACATAAAAAAATAAAATATTTTTTTAGTCTTTTATCTATGTACAATATCCTCTGAACAACTTTTAAATAAAGTTATTTATTTACCCACCAAAAAAATCCCAAACTTAGGTATCATTTTGAGGCCTCAGAGGGATGGCATGACCCTTTAATTTTATTTTAATTGCTACGCTTCTGCAATTTCCACTTTGCAAGATACAAACCTAAGCGCCAGTAGACTGGGTGCGCCGCTTAGCACAGCGTTTCTCCAAAGCGGATCCGCCTCGTGACTGATGACGAGATTCTGATCGTGATTGTCGATGGCCTCGAAGAGTGCCGCTGACTCGACGTATTGTTCTGGACTCATGAAGTGGTCCTGGTGCAGCTTCAGGGCCATTCTTATTCCCTTTGCGACTACGATGCGCAGGAGGTCGACATCGAGCAGCACCCATTCGTCGCGAACCGATGTTATCCGGAAGTCTCCTATCATTGAATATATTCATAAGTGTAACTGGAAAGAAACATTAAATAATACACTGATAATCGTTACAAACTCATGTTATACCTTTAAACAACGCGTGCAAGCCGTAGAGAAAAAACTCCACGTTCGATAATGTGTTGTGAGAAGCAGCACCTAACATGCGTCTTCCCAGCAGACTCAACGAGAGGCACAGAGACACGAGAAACGAATCGCGTGTTACATCCAATGACTGGAAAACACAATGGGCTGTGAAATAATTTTCGGGGGAATTATGAATTATATACAGAGCAGATCGTCACTTTAATGCTACAATCATCATCTTAATACTCCAATTATTTTAAATGTCCTTTTCCTACATCTGAATAAGGTAACTACGTCTTGTAGTTCAGAGGTTTAGACTAACGTGATTCAAATTCTATTTGTAGCGCTTGAAGGGTAATTATAATCGACGCAGTTTAAGATCCGTTATCATTATCATTCAATTTAATTTTAAGGCTCCTGACTAATCATCGCGGCCACATTGGAATCGTGACATCATCACGAGAAATGACATGTAAAAGTTTCCTGCAAGCCATTTTTAAATAAAGAGATTTTAGATAAAATAAAAAAATAAGATCGCTTGTAAAAATTGATGAAAACTTTACCTCTCCTCTCTCTCTTTGTCAGTAAATAGTCATAAAGGGCGTGTGCAGCCTATTTAGACGAGAAAGCATATGATTTGATAACTGTTGAAAGGAGTGAAAAAAATATACTTTTACGTATAAAAATTCAAAAATTACTTTCCTTCCATTTTTATAAATTCGATAAATACGAAACAAATCATATTTTCACAATTAAGCACATAATAATAAAATGACAAGACAACATTTCGTTGTCAACACTTTTCATAGTAATGCTTATCCTCTTCACAAGTCGAGTATTCTTTTCATCTTTGACTGTAATTGATCAATTCTCACTGTATATGATGTCGGCATACAATAATGTAGAATTCTTACAATTTACGACTTATGACATATTACGATATACTGATATATAACATATTACAGAATAGGTCGATAAACAAGATTCTAATTTCTATCGCGATATAGTGTTACCACTGTCAAGAATTTTTGACTGTGAGTAGTCAGGAGCCTTAAATACTGATGTACAAAAAGATGATCAGGGTGAGTACTCAAATTTTGTAAAAGAATTCCCTGAAAATTCCTAGATTTTCCAGGAATTTTATTCAAAATTCCAGATAAGATTAGAGAATTTCTCAATACAGCTTTGAAATAAGTTAGGCACCAAGAGTTTTAATAACGTATAGAACTTGATGCGTCAAACCATTTAATCTTCTTATATGTACAATAATTACATCTTCATACAAAATTTTTAGAATGTAACAAATGATTTTGTATGGAGAATATAACTACATATGTGAAGATTAAATTGTTTCACGCACCAAGTTCTGCATTATTAGATTCATAATGCCTGATTTATTATTTCCGAATTATCGTTTTTTTTTTTAGATTAAAGAGTCTTTATATAGTATATGTCAATTTTAAAATAAATTAACTTTCAATATTAGGGGCCTTCGATATGAGGCCACGTTTATCCCTTTCTAAAGGGATAAAATTAAATTTAAAAGTAAAAAATTTCCCTGAGTATCCATGATTAAAATTCCATGAGAATCCATGATTTTCAAGGATAAAAATGAAATCCTTGAGAATTCCAGGTTTTCCCGGGTTTTCCCGGTAGTGCCCACCCTGATGATGCCAAAAAATGGTCAAAGTTGCGAATTGCGTTGTAATATTGAAGCGACGAAACAATGCGAATGTCCACCAATGAATATCACCTTATCCTGTTTACCGGCGCAATATTGTATCCATTCGAGGTAAACATTGCAGAAGTTACTCCGCGTGATGCCGCTCGCTCGGAAGTCGAAGTCCTCGTCGATTTTCACGTTGAACATGGGATCGAGGTCGACGAAGTTCTTGTCGAGCGTTGGCTTCAGCCGGTCGACGAGCTCCGGATCCTCCAGCCACTGCTTCAACTTGGGCGACTTCACGGCGTAAAAGACGATACTCTTGACGTAGTAAGTAACTAGTACTTTGCGAAACTCGAACACCTGCAGCATAGAGCCCGCCGAGTTGTCGGAGATCGAGTAGCCCTCGAGGACGTATTTGGCGCTCGCGACTTCCCAGGCGAGCCAGCGTTGGCTGAAGGCCGCGTTCACGCTAAGTACATTCGACAGATGGCCCATTTCGCAGCAGCAGCAATTGTCGTTATCCTCGATACCTTCTGAGATCGCTTCCACCTGGGGAGGGGATAACACAGATACAAGTTATTAGCATTATGAAGTAAAAAGACTAAAACACTCATACTGTAGCTCTTGTATATACCTCTCTTTGCTGGCAATACGTTCCACGAAATTCGAGACCTCTCAACTGGAACGTCACCAGTCCGTTACCTAATTGGACTATGTGCACCAAGCAGTTCAAGTAATCCGACGCGAGCAGGAAGCAATCGCCCTGCTCGACGTTTCCCCATCGGCCCATCGCGAGATCGCCGAACAAGCTGTGCTGGAGGGAGCGCGTGAGTTGCTCGTAGAATATCGAGTTCAGATTGTTGTCGTCGGCGCCCAGGTTGCGCTCCAGGTGCGAGGACATGCGCGTGTTCGAGTGGTCCATCCTTCTGGTCTTGTAGTCCCTCTCCCAGAACTTGACGGGTCGCACGTAGGACGAGATGAAGATCGCGCTGCCCAGCAGCGGGTTCAGGGGCGTGCTGAGCATCGCCGAGATGCCGGCCTGGAGGAAGAGCATCGCCGAGTGCGGCACGGAGAAGGGCTGGGCGAACGCGTGGAACGCGCTGCCCCAGGTGATCTGCCAGGGCGCGATGTAGGTGACGACGAAGCGGATCTTGAGCAGCAGCTCGTAGATCTTGGCGAACGCGATCCCCGTGACGAAGTAATCCACCAGGAAGGTCTCGCTCAGGTTGCCGAAGTCGAGCTGGAAGAAGAGCACCGCGAAGACGAGGACGAGGTAGCGGGTGGACGGGTCCGAGTACGCCGACCTGAGGGACTTGAGGCCGCACACGACGACGATGAGCGCGCCCACGCCCTCGCCGAACTTGTCGGCGATCTTCGACGAGCACTCGGTGAGCGCGCCCAGAAAGACAACCGGATAGAGAACGTTCCGCTCGAGGAAGCACAGGTACACGTAGAACTTCTCGAACCACATGATCCTCACCGGCTCGCGCACCTCGAACTGCGCGTGCTCGTGGCTGCGGAACACCGGTCTCGAGAGGCACAGCCACGGCAGCTGCTTGCGCAGCTGCGGCACGATGTAGTGCAGTAGGAAGCCCAGACAGCTCACGATACTCCACAGCACCGGATTGAGCTCCGGTTGCAGGGCGGTGAACACCGTCGTGCGGTGAATCCCGAAGGACAGGGTGCCGATCACCGCGCACACAATCAGATCGTTCTTCAGCCTGGAGTTCACCGTCGAGCGCAACTTCTCCGGCAGAGGGTCCACCAGCTCGGTGTCCGCCATCTTCTCGCTCACCTTGATCTTCATGCTCTTCTTGCCGGACGTTTTGTTCTTGGTCACCTTGAGGCTCACGACCACGTTGTCGGGCGTCTGCGACGACGACGTGTTCTCGATGATTTTCGCCTCCTTCTCCTCCGTGTACCTCTCCCCTATCTCCGGCGGCCACAGATTCGTTTTCAGGATGTCCCATATCACGGTGGGATCCGACGACGATCGGCTCAGATGGTAGGATATCGCGACGAGCAGACCGACGAATATGGAGAATAGGATGTGCTGCGTGGATTTGGACTCGACCAGGGCGCCGTAGGCGAATCCGTAGAGGATGAGAACCGCGACGACGCTGCGGCACAGGCAGTACACCGACGACACCAGACTGGTGGTCGCGTTGCCGCCGAACAGATGAATGTCCAGGTGCTCGCAGACGTACATGAGAAACGTGTTGATCTGCGGGAAGAGCCCCAACGAGAACACGATTGGAAAGCAGAGCAGGAATATCAGTAGGACGTTTCGCACTTGCAGTATGAGATCGTAGTCGGCGACGCGCAGTCCGTACACCCGAAAGTCGGACGACTTAAAGTTCCTAAGCGTCTCGTTGAAGATCAGAATGAGACTTGAGCATATGATGTAGTACGCGGGCCTGGAGAACACTATGATGCGATTGAAGCCGTGCGTGGGCGACGCGGCGTCGGGCTGGACCGACTTGAGCAACGAGTACTGGCAGCCGGCCGTCACGAAGCAGAATATAAACGCGAAGATGTCGCGGTAGAAACCCTGTTGGAGCAGCAGGAGGCCCAGTCCCGCGACCGCGCCGGCCAGAAACGTGGAAACAACGGTCTCGAACACGGACAGGTTGCGGTCGAGCAGAGCCAGCAGGGCGAGGCGGTCGAAGCGCACTTTGATGTGCGGCAGCCTGCCGATCTTCCACTTGTAATAGTGCCTGGTCTGCTTGACCTTGGAATCGCAGCCGTCCAGGGCGTCGACCAGGCGATTCCACGACAGACTGGTGTTTATGTCGGGTTCCTGATGCGCGGGCAACGTCAGCACCGGCAAGCGGCCCGATTCCGAATGATACACGTTGATCTGATTCAAATTACTCAGCAGATTCTGTATCGCCCTGCGATTTCGATCCTCTATCAAGGGCGCCATCAGCGCCTGATTGAACTGCTCCGAGAACTCGCCGAGCGGGCACTGAATGGAGCTGCCCGTGTTCGAGGAGACCAGATTCGACGGCGGTGAGCTCTGCGTCTTGGTCTGATTGCTCGCCGGGCTCGACAGCACCGGTGGCGTGTCGATTATCACTGTGAGACCGGCGGAATTGAGCGACAAACTGCTGTAGCTGTTGCTCAGCGACTCCGCGACCTCCCAAGTCGCGTCGTAATGCGCGTTCTGGTTGACCTGCTGGCGCAGCACGGTGTTCAGTAGCTTTTCGTTGTGCGGATTCGCGGACATCTGCGCCGTCGTCACCGCCGCCGCGGCGGCGGCGGCGGCGGCTGCGGCCACGTCTGGGCCTTTCTCGAACGAGTACGCCCACCACTTGCCGTTATCGTCGAGAAAGTAGTGCACCGCGCCCTCCGAGGTGTCGTTCGGAGTCTGGGCCAGGTGGTACTTGCCGCTCGTGATCATGTGGAACAGCTCGGTCACCGGCACGATGTTGTCGTCGCGACTGGCGAGGCGCGACCTGGCGCGGTGGGTCTTGTTGGGCCGTTTCAGTCGCCCGTACCTCCGAAAATTCCGCTTGTCGGAGCTGCGACTGAGCCGCAAGTCGGACGACGTGGCGGCGCTCGACTGACCGGGCAGATCCCGGCCGGAGTTGTTCAGCAGCGCCGCCAGCAACGGAGACGCCGGATTCGGCAGCAGCGTGCTCAGCTCGTTGTTCGAACCGCCCGTCTGCTCGAACTTGGTGTCCCCCCGCCTCCTGGTGCGCTCCCGCCGCACTTCGATGTAACGCTTGAGATTCTCCTGCGGCTGCTCGGCGCTCGGCACGATACTGTCGTCCGCGGCGTCCGACGCGCTGGGTTTTGGACGGCTCTGCTTGGGGATCGCTCCCTGGTGACGCTTGCTGGTGGTGCTGTCCACCTCCAGCTGCGGCAGCAAATTTCGCTTCACCTCATTCTCGATGCTAAGGGTCGTTGTACTGGACGATCCCGAATCGGGCTCTTTAGAATGAAGATCTACGCAAATCAGCATACAATTGTGTTTATCGTTCTCTAGCAGGCTCTACAGTTTCTATGATCAACGTTAGAAGATCGATCGCATCTGTACTTTTATTCGTGAGGATTGCAGCATTGCAGAATTGAGAATCATGCGCAAAGCTGGGTGAAGCGCTAAATGTGCGGTACGCTCATTTATCAATCGAGAGTGTCGTATTAAGGTATTCTTTGACTCGACAGTGATCTCCCAAACGCGATTGTGAGACCCTAACTCAAAAAGTGCGTCCAACTTACAATCTGTACTAGCCGTCTGTAGGCTTTCTGATGTATCCGTATCATCAGAGCGAGTGAAAGTCCAAAATACTGGCAGCACGAATTAGAAAAAACGTAACAATATAAAGCTTGCAAATAGCGAAAAATAACTCGACCACTTTCTACCTACAAAAAAAAATCAGTACGTTTTCCGTACGGTAAACTTACTCTTACTTGTCCACGGTTCCCCCGAGCAATCCTCGAACAACCAGTCTATTCCGACGATGCTCCCCGAGTTGAGCGGATCCTCCATAGTTTTCGATTTGTCCCGCCTGCTCTCCTTGGTCTTCTCGCCATCCGAAAACTCGTGGTTGCTCTGATTGGCATTGCTGTATCTTCTCTTCACTCCTCTGGATTTGGACTCCTCTAGCAAAGCGTCTCGAGAATTTGCCGAATTATTATCTACTCCGTTGTCGTCGTTAAATCTAGAAGGAAACGTGAATAATGCGAATAAGATTTTGTTGATATATTTAATTAATGAGAGCATCGCAATTACAGGGTCGCCACAAAAAGTGAATTTTGAAATTCCCTGACTTTTCCATGATTTCCAGACAACAGTGGAAAATTTTCCACGATCAGTATCAAATATATAATTTTAAATTTTAATGTTTTGAAGATAGAAAAAAGGAAAATTCTAAAAAAGGTAACTTATACTATTAGAAGCAACATAAATTTAAAAGTTTAATAACACAATATCATCCCAAATGCAAATTCAGGCCAACAAATAATTAACATCACTTTGACATTGATATTACGCATTAAATTAAAAAAATTCCTTTGGTATAACTGAATTTTCCGTTGCTTGGGGACCAGACAAAAAAAACTCAAGTGGTAAAAGTAAAAATATTTCTATAGACATTTCTTTAATATCGCTAAATATTCAGAATATTTTTGATTGCGATAAAAAGAAGAGAAGTCTCGAACAAAATCGTAATTTTCGAAAATTTTTTCGATTTTCATACAAAATCATTTTATTCTGTTATTGTCTATAGATTAATTCTGAAAAAGGATTTTCAAATAAAAAAAAAGCAATATATACAAAAACATTGTACAAAAATTGAGTTTTGTCGATAAAACAAATGATCCCTTTAAGGAAACTGTGAGCAAAGTTCATAATTCCAGACTCTTTTATATCTTTCCCTGACTCCCAGGTTTTCCCGGTTTTCCAGGTCTGTGGTAACCCTGAATTATTTTAACGTTATTATTTAACGGTACACATTAATACCTCGAGAATCTTTCCTCAAATCTGCCGGCGCTGAGACTCCTGTCCCGATTAGACGTAGCGCTCGCGTCACTTATGTTTTTTCGCGTGAGCAGCGGACTGTAAGAATCGCACAGGCTGAATTCCTCTGAGCTCTCATTGGCGAACTGCTCGTCGCTCTGTTCCGCTATCGGGTAAACTATCTCGGATCCGAAACTAAGATAATGCAAGAGCTGCATTTGATTTCTCCTCAGTGGGTTTGGCGGTAAGACCTTCAACGTTTCATTTAAAAAAAAATTACGAATGTACGTTATTCGTCAAGAGGGAAAAAAAAAACACTTGTAACAAAATATTTCGTGAAACGAGCCCATACCTTTTTGGTATTTATTGTTTCGAGACTCTGGGGATGAAGAGGCAGGTTATTGTCGTCGGTGCTTATGTTTTTACTGGTAGCGCCGATTGTCTCAAGACTCTGCGGGTGTATCAGTTGCTGGTGCGGTTTCTTGGTAATAATCTTAAAATGAAAAGTACAAGATACTTTTTAACGCTTGCTAGGAACGTTCGAGATCGCAAACATTACACCCGATACTATACGCTATTCAACTAATGAGATTCATTCGACGTGAATTCACCTCTAATGATTGCGGATGAGACGAGATCTTGTTGTTGTCCGCATCCCCCTTCTTTGATATGATTTCTAAGCTCTGCGGATGGTCGTTCGTCAAACGTGCCTTCGGTATGGAATTGGAGTTGAGCCTGCGAACGCTCCGATTGTACATCCAGTACGGGTAATCGTCGCCGATGTGGCGGTGATTCGTCAATTCCAACGAGCTGATCTGCTTTATCTGGCTCTCGGATCCCGTTTTACCGAGATTGCTTTGATTCGAATGCCGATTTCTGGACTCCTCGGACGAGTGCCGACACAACTTACGCGATCCCGGCCGGTCTTCCTCCGCTATCACCACACACTTTTGCCGCTTCAATTTCCACTCTACGCACATGAAACATTAATTTCATTAATAATAGCCATTTCTCTATTTTTAAAGACGTATTATTATTCTCGTATTATTATTATTAAAATAAAGGTAAACGCTCAATTACCATTTATAATGTTTTTAGAACGTGGCTCGTGATATTGTGCAGAAACTAATTCAGCTTCGTGCACGTTAATGCTGGTTACCATCGGTTTACTAAGCTGCTGCGCCTCTTCCGAGCTTTCCGAGCTGTTCTTCCTATGTATCTCTACCTTTAAATCTATGGTCGAGCTAGCCTTATCCCGAGTATATTCAGACGTTATGCTATCTGCGTCGGAATTCTGTATATTTGGTTCAATAAACGAATTACGTGATGAACATTCTACAGGTGGTGTGTCCGTTTTACCTAGAGGCAAATTATAAAAAATATATATATACATAGTGAAAAGTTGCCTTTGCAGCAATGATATATGAACGCTGCAAGTTAATAATAGAGAAATTTATATACAAACAAAAATTATAAAAAAATATATATATACATAGTGAAAAGTCGCCTTTGCAGCAATGATATATGAACGCTGCAAGTTAATAATAGAGAAATTTATATACAAACAATTAATGTTTGAAAATTATATATATTATAAATGAGAATTTTCGCTAACTGAAAATCGTTTAAATAAAATATTACCCTCTCGCAATAATTTTATTCATTAACAATATTAAATTCATTTAGATAGAAAATATAGATAAATCAGTTTTTTTGTAAATCTCTCTACCTCATCAAATATATTGGAAAATATTACAAAATAAATTTTATATTAATCAGAGAAAGAGCTAGATAAATTTTATAAATTATTACACGATATATTTAAACATTTCATAAACAGAGCTCTGAACAAGAGGAATCAACTCATAGTTGACAGCTCCCATTCCTTATTCTGTATACGCTTAAGTTTTATACAAGATTGGAGAGTTTGAGAGTTGCGAGTGAGGAAAGTTACAAAGAAGCGAATAACAACACATTTTGGGAAATAATTTCCATATTTTAAGAAATTTTTCAGAAATGTAAAAAATTTGAGAACTTTGAAATGAATTTTCAAGTACGTTTAATCGCTTCGTAGGACAAATTTGGTCTCATTGGCTTTCTCAAGAAATTATAATATGTACGCTTATTGCAGTGTGCAGTGAATATAGGCCAGTACTTTTTGTAGAGACTCAATTATTAGACGCCGCTGTACGAATCACACACTGACCATTCAAGACTTGCAGCTCTATGCCGTGTCCGGTCTGATCTTGATCCGACTGCTCCCGAGATTTGTTATGGCACGACCATTTCTTCTCGCCCTCCGACTTCTGCTGGCTGACGGTTTGATTGGGTTCCTCCAGACATTCCGACGTGTCGTAAACGGAGTGCAGGGCATGATTCACGCACTTTATCGTGCCGAACACGGCGACGAACGACGAGCAGTACGCCAGCCAGACGTACAACGTAGGAGGGAAATACTGAAATACACGAAGATCCCATCAACAGACTTGCCTGAGCTTTTCTCTCTCTCTCTCTCTCTCTTACGCAACAAATCGCGAAAGGAAACAATAATAAAATTCCTCGCGCGTAAGGACGGTAAAAAAAAAAAATTACGTAAACATTAGTGGAAGTGTCTCGAATAATTGCGGGTCTTCCGATCTCTCGTCAGCCGTCCCTTTCGAAAGTGGCGCGAAACGCGCGCGACGAAACCTTCGTCCTTGACGGGGTTTCGTCCTGGGAAGCCAGGGCTGCGACTTTTGCGCAACTTTCAAAATAAACGGTCGCCGCGCGAACGTGGAGAGGAGAGTGATCGAGTGTGTCGCGCGGCGCGGGCGCTTTTCCTCCTCTTCTTCTTTCTTCTTCTTCTTCTTCTTCTTACCAGGTAGATCGTGAACGGCAGGCAGAGCAGGAAGAGCCAGACGTAGAGGTGGAACGTGTTGGAGAAAACGTCGAGATGCGGATCGTAAAACCAGCCGCCCGTCAGGCTCGCCCAGACGCCCTGCCGCAGGATCTCCAGCGTTTGCGAACCCATGCTGCTCCCAGTGGCCGAGGTAACCGAGCTGCCTCACCATCTTCCCATTACGTCCCCCTTAATAAAGCCCGGCGATTATCCTGCTCGCGGTCGCGCACGGTGCAGTCGTCGGCACCACCACGACACGGCCGGACGCGCGACGTACGGCGGGACGACGTTGCATCTTATTTTGTGTGTTCCCGTTAAATCGATGGGTTCTGGCGGCGCACACACGACAGACACGACTCGGTCGGGACCCTCCGCACCACCACACAGACGCACCCGCCAGCCGCGCCGCCGGACCCGTAGGAAGGAACGGGAGAGACGTCGCGCAGCGACATCTTCGAGGATCCACCGGCACGCGAGACATCATCTCGCGCTCGGAGCTGGGAAACACTTTGTACCGAGTGAGTCTTACTGCCGGTAAAACAAATTTCTGCATCGAACGAGGGAAGACGAATTGTAACTCGAATTAGAAGTGACGTCATAAAGGTTACCGCTATATAATAATCCTATATTTCTATACAGCCAGCGAAAGTAAACAGTATAAATCCTTGTAATTATTTAAATTGCTTGACTTTAATCTTCTGATGAATTAAGTACAATAATAAATGGAATTTATTATTACGTATAATACATAATAAATATATAATATAAAAATAAAAAATATATAAATATATAAATATATATATAATTTTGCACACTTTCAACGAATAGCGTTCAGTTTCAATCAAGATTGCTGCCAATGAGTCGAGTTAAAAATTCAAATTAACTGATTTTCGAAGAACTAATCTTTTGTCGATAATTAGAAAGATGGGTTGAGTATTTTCTGGCAATCAGTAAAGTCATAAACTTGTCAACGCATACAATTGTGCAAATTGATCAATTTGTATAATTTCTAATTATCATCATTAAACCTTAGTTATCGAGAGAAATTTAATCCTTAAAAATGTAATAAATTTCAGCAACATATAATCGTGTAAGAAATAACGTTTACTAAAATAAAGTTTCAAAAACTAATAAAGTTCTTAAAATATACTTTAAATCGCGAAAATTTAAACTCTCGAAAAATAACCAAGTATTGTAAGTAAATATATAATCCGAATAAGACTTATCCAAAATTCTAAAAGTCGCAATTGCGACAATTTTTACTTTTAAATGAAATTTAAGTGAGTTTCTCAAATCGAGATAATTTAAACTGACAAGAATCGATGAAGTATAAGAGGAATATGATTAGGTAACAAAAAAAAAGAAATAGCAGTAGACGAACTGAAATTTCAAGAATTATTTAAAAACTTCTAAATTTTATACACACACGTACACAAAATTAGAACGTTTTCAATATAATATTCATAGTATTATAATACGCAGCTTTATTTGTGGATCGATCTTCTTGCGATTGCTTTAATGTTTGTCATATATACTCCGCATTATACTGAAACCTCCTCACGTGCGACGTTCTCAATAGATCATTGAATCTGAAACAAGAATAAATGAAATTTATTCTTATATGTAAGCGAAAAGTATTTGCGTTTTTGGAAATCAACTTTTATTGATATATTACAATTTCTCTATTTAACAATATAATAGGCGTATACCGTAAAATTACATAAACAATGTAAATACCTAGTGAAAGTAAATTTACAAAGATTTAAATAATAATAAATGAAATTTTATTATATACATAATATATAATTTTACATACTTCTAATCAATAATAGCGTTTCAGTTTCAATCGAGATTGCTTGTCAATGAGTCTCGAGTTAAAAATTCAAATCTGCTTAAAAATTCCACTCGAAACAACGAAAGTTAAGTTTTGTATGGATAATGCAAGTGAATAATTACTTTAATCGTGCGCGCGTTTTGTCCCCTGCCGCAGCTTGATCGTCGGGAGTTATAACAGCCCTCCAGGCGGGCAGACCTCACCGAAAATTAAGTAGACTTTTCCAAAACGTAAGTTTACGTCCGCGTCACTCTCTGCCTCAGATGTGCGTTCTCTCTTATCTGTCTCTTCCTTACACGCGAGAGCGAGCGCGGATTAATCAGTGTCGCGATCAACCGCAGTCGCCGCAGTTGTGCGCGACGTTGTACGCTCTCGCAATCTGAAAGCAAAAGGCCGCGGTTAAGGCATTAGAAGGCCGTCCTAGCGGGGGGCCCCCCTCCCGGGGGGGCTTTTTACGTTTTGTGCTTCACGCAGTCACGCTTACGAAAAAAACTCCCCCACGCTTTCAAAAAAGCACTCGCTCCACACTTGCCTAGCAACTTCTCTCGGCGCAGTGTATCATCATCATCATCATCACCATCATCCTCATCCTCATCCTCATCCTCATCACCATCATCCCATCAAATTCTATTAGCCTGCAAAAATATATACTCCCTCTCTCGCTCTCTCTCTCTCCTTTTACTCTCTCATCTCCAGAATCCTTTCACCTCCCTTTCTTTCTTCCTTTCTTTCTTTCTCTCTCGCTCGCTCGCTCTTTCGCGTCCTTCCACCACTTGCATCATCAAAAACTTGCGCCAACCACTTGCTCGTTCGTATCTTTTTTTTTTATTTTACTTTATTTTTTTTTTTTTTATTGTTCCATCCAAGAGGTACGTTCACGGACATCAACCATCCACATATATATTCACCCAGGCTGTTGAACAGAATCGTACAGGATTAGTGTCCGGTGTTCACCGGGGTACTCGGGGGCGGGGACCAAGCTAACTAAAGAGTACTAACATTCCAATTTTTTTTTGCGGCGCCTCTCGAGACGGCGGCTGGTCCAGGACGAGAAAACGGGAACGGTAAACACACTCTCTCCGCCGCAGGTGTACGTGTGTGTGAGTGTATTTTTTCTTTTTTTTTTTTTTTTTTTCAAACGGAAAACGAAGACTCACATTTCCCGAGATCGGTTGGTGTGACGCTCGGGCTCCATCGGGACTCTCGCGCTCGCGACCGAGGATGAGCGAACAAGGCGCGAAAAGTGTATGTGGTCTGCAAGTCTCAGCCATCCCCCGGGGTCGGTGATATCTGTGAGGATTGTTAACTGGCCCGCGCGGCGTTTTGTAACGCGTGTCACACGGCATGTGATTTTTTTCCAAACAAAAAATAAAAAAATAAAATAAAATAAAACGTTAAAAGGGAAGCGTTGAGAGTCACGCGTGTAACTTTTGCGTGGGAGACGGAAAACGCGGCTTCGCCGAGCGAAGCGAAACGGCAGCAAATTAGCAAAATTACGCGGGGAAACGCCTCGTCGGCGTTCTGCGTTCCTCCGAAGAAGGATCGAGGTGAACGTCGCGAAAAATCACCGAGCTAAATTACATCACAAAGCAGAGTAAGCGAAGAAACAAACCGCGTGTTTCGCAAGAAAAATATAACTCGACAAACGCCAGGCATTTACTGCATTATTTTTCTCCTTATAAAAATTATTGTATGCGACTAGCCAGAGGGGGGAGGGGGTTGTCTCTTTCCTGCTTCGGGAAGAAAATGTTGCGGATGTGGCGAACGCGCGGATGACGACTTATTAAATGGGAGGGGAGAACAAAAAAAATTATATCGGTAGACAAAAATTAACTTTTCGAAAAACTGCAGAAAGCCAGAGTGTCGATGAGGGTGATTATTCTATATTCGTAATCGTTTGATGGGTGAGGCGTTCATGAAAGAGAAATAAATGTCAGATCATGTAATCACCTGTTTCGAGGATCAGCGGACGTTTCCGTAGCCTTACGTTTACCTTCAGTCATCGGTCTTCATTCAGCCATCGCCGGAAAGGCCGGCTACCGGCGGCTCTGTTTACTACAGTTTTACCCCCTTCGAAACCCTTCCACTCGCATTTTTTTTTTTACCCAGCTCTACAATTGCAAAACGGTCGCCCTAACGTCCCGTCCCCTCGCTGCTTTTTTTTCTTTTCCTCAAATTGAACGCGCGCGACTCTGCGCTCCTTACAACGAGGTCGACAAGGTGAACGCGAGTTACGTAAAAAAGAATCCAAGATTTTTACACACGCAAATCTCGAGAGCAGCTTCGCTACGAGATCACATCCAGATTGTTTATGTAGGATAAATTAAATATTTCTTCATGTCCAAGGATGTATATAATAATATTGTATTGAAACGGTTTCGTATAAGCGCGATAATTTTTTCGGACTGGCCGGATAGTAGCCTGGCTGTCCCAAAATTGGTGCGAAAAGAAAAAAAAATACCAAACAAGATCTCTTGGCGCCAAGAGGTCGAGATCTCTAGTTTCAAATCTTCGATTTTGTTGAAGCTTGACATTGAACGACTGGACTTTCATCATGTATGCATTATCTCTGAAACTTGATTCGCAAAAAAAAAACATTTATTTTTACTGTTGTAGCTTATCAAAATGGATCGTTATTTCTTCGGGGTTTCAAAAGTTACTGCAGGTACACACAAGCGACACACCGGGGTTTGCAAACTCGCTCGCACGAGGCAAACCCGTATACGTTCCTCCGCCAATTCTGGGACAGCCATCGGCAGATGTGTGATTGTGCATCGCTATGACTCGCAGTTAAGAGGAATCTATTGGTACCCCCACGATGCTTGGGTCTTTTATTCTCGGCATAATTTAACATACACTACAATCAACGGAGAAACGTTACGGAGAGCAGTTGAGTATTCTCGCATCGGCTCGGCGAACTCGGGAAAACGCTTTACAATTTCACGGCAAAAACCCGTAAAACGGCAACGGAAGTGGGAAAACGTAATTGCCGTTCGCGCGACGTTTTATCTAACGTATTCGTATCTACGAATAGATTCTCGCGCGCAGCTCTCGCTGCCTGTAGCGGACAAGAAAACTCTGCGAGGACGCTGCTTTCTTTTTTTTTTCTCTTTTTTTCTTTTTACTCGACGGGTTGCGGCGGCACGCGCAAAAATCGTGAGATCGTTTCTCGCACACGGTAAAAAATCCACGGTAGTCTCGATTCGCATTCGACTCACGTTTTTGTATATAGCTCGGAAGTGTATCTCAAAAGTGTAAAAGAATGCCGGACTCGCGCGGTCGCCCCTCACCGCGGACGCTCCTCCTCCTCCTCCTCGCGCGACGCGGCTGGAGAAAACCCCTCCGTTATATAAACAGCCGCGAGAGATCGACGGATCAGAATCAACATTCTCACAACGACAACGTTTTCACGGCACACGTATTTTTTTTTTTTTTCCTTTCTCGGACTCATCGTCACACGCAGGACTCATCTCTCATTTTCCTCTCTCTCCCTCTCACGAGACACAACAATATACCGAGCGACTTTTACAGAGCACAGCTAAACTTCTACAATAAAATTCGTTTACATTTTTTCGTGAGCGATTATGAAAATTGCTTTATATCAATCCGTATTTACATACTTCGCAGATCGCTTCCAAATCGTTTTGCAAGGCATCCTTTGAGCAGTGGGCAACTCTCGTCTCCCGCGCGCCATAAAAAAAAAAAAAGAAGAAACTCACCGATTGAGGGGGTCACGAGAGGGTGCCAGATAGTGTCGTAGGCATCGCTATTTCAAACGATTTGAAATACGTGGCCTGACAATTAAATCCACAGGGTAGAAAAATTCATTTGGATGTACAATTTGTTTATCCAATAAACGAGACAATGACAAAAGTACCTCTTTCTAATACTTTACATGTAATTTTTTTTTTTTTTTTTTTTAAGTGAAATCTTGTTTTACAACATTTCTTACTTTTTCTCAAGGGAAAACAAAACACTCGTTGCTTCTTGCCAAACAAGTAGTCAACAATAATTATATTATTCGCAGTGTGAGTTTTGTTATCGAAGAATGAAACTTATGTTGAAACATAAGCCGCGCGAGAAGAGATAAAAGACATGCACATCCACTGTACCTCCAATCTATGGAAGGTGGTAGAAAAAAGGAGATGCGTCTATACAAACTTAATTGTCAGATGCCATCGTAGATCTGTAATCGCGACGGCTCACGCACGAATGTTCGAGCCCGTCGATCAGCTATATTGTCCATCGTACAGTCATCCATCGACGAGTTCACTTTTACCTCTTATATCAAGTTACTTTATCTTTACTCTATCTTCTATTCTCTTCTTACACCTCTCTCGTATCTCGTAATAAGGAACTACGTTCTCCCTGAAAATAGATTTTCAGACATCGAGGGGGAAATTTAAAAGCGCGAACATTCGTGCCTCAGCGACAAGCTTGGTACGGTTTTTTTTTCCAGTGTCTGTTTTAAAAGTTGTCCTCTCTTAAACCACAGCTTCTATGTAGATCGATTTAACAATTTATAGACTTAATAGCGTGGCAGAATGCGCAATCAACCAACTTCACATCGTCTATCTCTCCTCATTGAAAACTGTGTATGTATGTATGTATGTGTGTATGCGTGTGTGTGTGTGTGTGTGTGTGTGTGTATATAATTTAGCCTTTTTCTTACATACGCTACGTGTATAAACAATCTCCTCTCGATCTACATATACACCAGACACACACTGGACGACTTTTTGCTCATTCTCATCTTAAATACCGCAGTGCTCCCCCGCTCGCCTTATGCATTATTATCTCAGTCACCATCTCTTCACCTCGCCCCGCCAAGTACACGCGTTCTCAGTGCTCTAAACAAACGACATTATCATTTTTGCTAGTAGTAAAAACTCACGCCTGTGGTAATAGGCTTTTTTTTTTTTTTTCTTAGACGACCATCAACAGATACCATTCAACCGCCATACACACAACGTGCGCTTCTCTCAATCGAGCACAATCCAGTTTTCGACATTCTCAAAGTTTTTTTTTTAGAGGATTTATCTCTGTCTCATCTATACAACGCGCGCGCGGCACACACGCATATCGACGGGAGAACTCACGCTATATAATGAGAGAGAAAGAGTGAGAGAGTATTATTATCATTATAGAATTGTATATTAAGTAGTGTCTCGCGCTCTTTTTTTTTCCTTTTCTTTCCTCAAAAGAAGGAAGTCGATGAGAAATCACTATACGACAAAATGAAAAGCATACAACAGTACATACATCTCTTATATAGAAGGATTATTTTATTCTCTCAATTAATATACTTCATAAGAGATAATTAGTGTACTCTGAAATAGTCAATCTAAATTAATTCCTTTAAACGTGGTATACAGTGATATTCGCGGTGAATACGAATGCGGTCTTTTTAAAAGTTTAATTGCGATGCTATTCTCGTATGTTAAAGTTATTGACTATAATTGTGAGATGTGAATTGTATTTTTTCCTTCCTCCGCGCTACACGACTCTTTCTTTTTCTTTCTTTCTTTCTTTGAAAAATAAATACTCTCGACCAGTAAAGCTACCGTTATTTTTTTTCATTATCGTTCAATCGGGAAACAGTTTCGAAAGTCTTTTTCATCAAGGATTATTTCATTCAAAACTTATCGACACATTATACACAGACATATAAGAGACATCTAAACATCTTCTCTTCCCGCTTACTTCAAATCACTCAATTAAAAATGGAAAAAAATCCGATTTCCAATTCAAACGATTTTCTTTCACACACAATCGATCAATAATTTTGACACACCTGCACACTAGTGTAAAATTCTCACATAATAAGCTATTTATGTGTTACATTTGAGATATTTGAAACAGAAGTTCAAATCGATGATAATAATAATATACAATACGGATAGCTGCGATCAACCTCCAGGTGTGTTGCGCGCGCGCAATTCTGACACATTCATACACTCTCAGACATATCATTCGCAATTTGTACGTTCCTTCTAAAGATCAGGTTTTTTTTTTTTTTTGGAAAAACGTTAATCTTTCGCAGGTAAAAAGTGCTGCAAAATAGAGATAAGATTCTTTCAACGGAGGTAACTTTGTACCACACAACCAAAGAAAATTTTCGGTCCACTTAATGCCTAAAACAATAAATACTAAATTTCTATTTCATCTGTCGATTATCTCTCTTCAGAGATAAACGTATTTCTTTTTTTTTCTTTTTTCGTAATTCTTATTATCTCGCACGATTCATTAGGTTTTATGTTCAAGTTGTTTCATTTTATTATTTAGCGTCTTCTGAAATAAATATTTTTAAATAACGTACTTTCGCTACAACGGCGAATATATTATATAGAGAATTACGAAATAAAGTTGTTACCCACGTCGAAAACATTTTTTGCTAGATGTTATGGCGAAAGAAAAAAAATATATATCACGGCTGCGGAGCTTTGAAGCGCAGAGTATCCCGACGCGAGAGAAGTCTGTTCGCGCAGCAACAAAGTTCTAGGATCTCCGGAATTACATCGAGGCGAGAAAAAAAAATTATCTAAAATAATCGAGAAATCTATCCGTTAAAAAGTAACGAGCAAGAAATGAAATACCCTGTACAGTATGTTGAAAAACGCGATGGCGAGGTTATATATTGTAATATATAACGCTTTTTAATTACAAACAACGTCTAGCAATTTCGGCGCGGATCTTGAATCGATATAACAAAATTAATTGGCTTTGGTCTACAGTTTCATCTATTACCACATTGCACCCATTAGATCGATCGCCTGTTACAAATAATCTCGATTCGTAACCGAGGCGATCAATCAAGGTTCTCCCGCCGCGTCAAAATTTTTGACGTAGGTTCGCGGAGAGAAAATTTAATTAACGGTTTAAATAAAAAGTGTGGTTAGATAGAAAGCCAGTATCTCAACGAACGCTATTAAGTAAATATTTACTAAAGCCCCCTCTATCAAAGAGACTTGCGGCGAAGGAAGACTTCAGCTATTTCCAACTTCCCATGTAATTTAGTAATTGCTCGAGAGAGGAAGAGAGACAGAGAGAAAGAGAGAGAATGTTGTATGCTTAAATAAAATGAAGAAACAATGTAGATGCGATTGTAGCTGCAATTATTCCCTGTACGTCTGTGCGGCAGTAATTTCGTCTTGAGTAGGAAATATATATACCTTGATATACACACTTCACTGGGGGTTGGGATAAATGCTGAAGCAGCTCAAGTCTTCTCAGGCCGCAAAAAATCTCGGTCAAGTGTCTCACACATATGTTAAGTTACACAGTTCACCAATTATTATGCTAAACAATATAAATGTATACTCGATCATGCAATCTCATTCTTGCCGTATACAGATAACGCTCTGTGTTCACACATCAACTTCATTCACGTATCGATTTTATTCACGCCGCTGTTCGTCGCACGCCCTCACACCAGGGAGATATGACGCGCAAAAAAATAATCAGGCGCACATCATATAACGATCGGAGCTATCCGCCTTCTTCTTACTTGTCGTTTAACCTAAACCTTCATTCAACGAACGGAATTGTGCTAATTTGTCAAACCAGTAAGAGAGAGTGGGGTGGGGGGGGGGGGAGGGTTCTCGAAATATTATAATACACGCAGTGGCGATTAGTGCAAAACATTAGAAAAAACGTCAACGTACTATAGGCTCTGGCTCTCGTTTCTTTTAATTTTCCTTTCTTTCTCTGCACGAGGTCGACGCGACCTTTTTTTTTGTTTGGTAAAAAGAAAAAAAAAGTGCGAGCGTCGACCTCATCCACAAAGTGTACCACCGTTCGCGTTTATGGTTGCTGCGTCGGGACCCGTGGATGGAGGATCCGTTTGGTTTTACGAGTAGACCCACGGCCCCGATTGAATTTACTCGTACTTGAGAAAGGTATTCGACTTTTGGTCGCGCTGACCCGGGTGATTCTGCCAGGCGCCCTGGGACGCGTTCGGGTTATTCGGCCCGGGGCCGCCGGTGCCGGGGTTGCCGGTGTTACCGTCGCCGCCGCCCTGGTTCATCCAGCTGAGGAAGCCGGAGTTGCCGCTGTTGCCGATGCTGTTGTTACCGGAGGGCGGCTGGCCCGGTGGGCCCGGCTGGTTCGAATAACCCTGGTCGTTTCCCTGGTTCTGCAGGTTGCCGATCAGACCCCAGGACGCCTGGTTCAGGGCGGCGGCCACCAGCGCCGGGTTGACCGGCAACGCGGACAGATTCAGACCACCCATCGCCAGCGGGTTTGACATACCGCCCCCGCCACCGCCGCCGTTGTTCTGCCCGGTGATACCGAGAGCCTGTAGATTCGGCATGTCGAGGTTACCGCGGTTACCCGGATTATTCCAGCCATTCGGGCCCATGTTGTTGCCCGAATGGCCCATGTAACGGTTGCCCTGATAATTGCCCTGCACGTTATTATCGACGGGTCCCGGCGCGCCCCTGCCGCCCCGCATGTTCGAGTTCACTTGATTATTGAAATTCTTATTGTTGCCCTCGGACTTGGGCGCGGCATTCGAGACGTGTACCGAGACGCCCTTGATAATATGATCTTCGCCGCAGAGCGACTGGGCGACCTCGGGGTCTAGGAAAGTGACAAACGAGAACGCGCGGAAGGGTTTCGGGATGAACACGTCCGTGACCTCGCCGAATTTGGAGAAATAATCTCGTAGATCGTCCGCGGTTAGATCTTCTGTGCAGCGGCCGACGAAAACCTTGCAGGGAACTTGCTGAATCATTCCTTCCTACACACAAACGCAATTATCAAATATGTACGACTGTGGTTTTCACGGTTTTAATACAAGTTCAAAACTTGCGTACAGTGCACATTACTCACAATACCGGCGGCGGTAGAATCGCTGCGAGGTAAACGTTCGTTGTGTGGCAACGTTCGACAGAAAACGGTAAAAAAAAAACGTAACATAGGGTATATATATATATACATTATGGGCTTACATCGAGTGTATATCGCATGCATATTACACACAATCAATGTGGTTCCGTTGGAACACGCAAGGTGCAACTTCTCGCTTCTCGGCTTAGGACTCTAACGTTCCGTCGATTGCAATTAATCTGCACTAAACGTCAAGTTTTTAATATAGAAAATTTCTTAAATATTTATATTTTTGTCGGTTTCAAGAAAAGACGCCGGCTTGGCTCGATTTATATATATGTAAATCCACATATGTTATATAATGAACACTTAAGCACTATGACCACTTGAAATCCATGCATCAATCTGTACAATTGTCTTTTTTTTTTTTCATTTGTGTTCACAATGTAGAGAATCTCATGCTACATTACACCGTCTTGATTTGAATAAGCACATATCTGATAAAATGTGTGAACAGTTATATTCCAGACTAATTATCTCTACCATTAGACAACATATCTGTTATATTTAACAAACACCATGAATTAATGGGAATATATAAATGCTTTTTCCTTGATGTGTTAACTCGATCGATTGTATACGAGATGAATCCATTTATCTTTACGATCTAAATTATCTCTATTGTGCGTACAGTTATCGAAAAGCTTGATAAGATTATGGAAAAAATGATTAGATTATATAGTGATGTCAAAAGGTCATAAAAAATGTATAGATCAAAAATTTATGAAATCAGAATAAAATTTGAAATGTTTACGAAACATTTTATCTTTTTTTTTATCTCGTATTTTATTCAGATCTTGATATAAAATATACGAAATTTCTTATTAATGTTTTGATTAATATTTTGATTCTTTTATGAACAGACTAATAAAATAAGTTGAGTTTGCAAAAAGAAAACATACAATTACACAGGCCTGCGAAATTAAGGGTCTTGAAAGAAGCAAGTAGCAGAATACGAGAATTGCCGAATTTTCACTACTTCGCAGTACATAGCCTTATTGTCGAAAAGTTTCCATCTTGAAACTTTCGTAACTCAACGAAAAAAAAATCGTTATTTAAAGATACAAGATATTTATGAAAGCGCTGAGCTGCTGAGAGAATATTAAAAACATAATTTGGTCAGTCATATTAACACCTTAAAAATGGCAAAATTCAGTTTTTGGCACATATGTCTCAAAAACCTAATTTAATAGGCACTTTTCGCTGGTAAATTCGAAGTCAACGACCAATTTACGTAGGAAATCAATACTACTTGTTTCTTTTAGAACCCTTAATTTCGCAGAGCCTGTGTTATTTTCTAAAACTATAATTTGCGATTTTCCCATTATTTATGTATGTCACAGCAATGTGTTATTGCATACATACTACTCTTGTCTAAAGATGTTTAAATTTCGATTTTTAAGTTGCACAATAAAGATAATTTAGATTATAAAATTAAATGCACGTGATGCGTGCTTGATATTCTTAAACTTAAAAATATGTGAGTTAAACGAGTAATGTAAAGTCAAGAGTTTTGAAAGCAGCTTGCGAAAAAAAATTCTATAAAGTCTCAAATCTTTATACCACGCATCTCTTTCGTTACTATCAATATTCCTTAAGACAATCCGTGATCAACTTGATTACGCTCTCTTTACATCAATAACAAAATAACAAAATCCAAAATAACACGAAAGAAAATAAGACGGTAAAACATTAATATCATCAGAGATTTGGCCTCTTGTCTCTTTGTATAAGAAATATCGATTTGCTTTTTGCAACACGAACACAGCAATAAAAAAAAAAGCGTTTAATAAGTCACACGTCAGACATTAATAAATATTCAATAATCGTAAAAAAAAATTGTATACGTATTTTACGCAATTATAATGCATAACATCATGTAAAATAAATATTTCTGATTTTAATAAACCGCATCGACATACCGAATACTTTTCAACATTCATTCATACAAATTTTTCGAGCCTCATGCTAACGAAGAAAAATCCGCCAGAATGTCAAGAGACATATGGACACGTGTGTCGATAATATCAACAATCATTGCGCTCATAGATGCGTGGTATAATACGTGCGTGGAATGTACATTGAATCCTGGGGAGAAAGAATCATCGCCGTCGCGTGTACACATGGTATCTGGTATTCCCATTAAAACATGACTGATTGTAATTACGAATTTCCTCTTCAGTATCTTGACGTGTCCGCGACGTGATGATCCCTCGACGGCCGGTGCTTGTAATAGCGATCGTAGTAGTTCTCCTTCGCCGGGTATCTCGCCGCCGGGTCGGCGTATCTGCCGTCGACCGGATCGCGGCCGTCCGACGTGGCGGCGTAGCGGCCGTCGACCTCGACGCGGCCGTCCATCGCGTATCTGCCGTCCACGACGGGCTCCCCCCTGCCGTCGACGACGTACCTCCGGTCCATCTCGCGGCTGTCCACGTATCGGCAGACGTCCGCCTCCCGGCCGGGGTCGGCCGCCGGCATGTGCCGGCCGTCCGGGTGCCTCGCGTCCGAGTACCGCACCTCGTATCTGCAGTCGGCCGCCGCCGTCGCGTAACGGCCGTCGGCGGCCTGGTCGTAGTAGTACCGCTGCTCGTACCCGTAACTGCTGTACCTGCCCTTGTCGTACTGCTCCGGGGTACAGCCGTCGACCGGATAGGCGGCGGCGCGTCCCTCGCCGTAATACCGCGGCCCGTACTCGGCGTCGGAGGGCGGATACGCGGGATTAACGGGCGCCGCGGCGGCGGCGGCGGCGACGGCGGCGTTCGCATGCGGTGGCGGCATGTAGCCGCCGCGGGAATCGTAGGCGGCGGACGACTCCTCGTAGGTGGCGTAGCCCGGCTTCTCGTTGTAGGCGTTGTAGGCGGCCTGCTGCTGACCGCCGCCACCGCCACCACCACCGGCGGCGCCGCCGCCGCCGCCGCCGCCGCCGCCACCGCCGCCGCCGCCCTCGTACTTGTACTTGTTATCGTCGTAAGGATAATTCGGGGGATACGACGGGTAGTGTGTGGTTTTGTAATCGTACTCCGAGTCGTATCTCGGGGGTGGCGCGCTCGGGGGCGGAGCAGTGGCCTCGGACGACGAGTTTACGACGCTGGCTACGTACGGCTTCGACGCCGGCACTCGGCGACTACTCGGCGTGTGCACCGGTATAGGTCGGTAGCACTCGTTACCGTGCTTACCCGTATCATACTGACGTGCCATCATTAATCCATCAATATTCTGCAACCAGATTACACCAGCCCTCGACAATCACATACAGACACTTTGGGATCGTGAATGCTGCAAGCACACATACGCGCATTCGCTCCCGCTCAACGCTCCGATGCGCACACGCGGCGGCACACGCCTCTCTCAAAAAACAACACCGCGTAACTCGAATACGGTCTCGATACTTCCCCGCCGGTGGAAGAAAAAAAAAACAAAACAAAAAAAAACCGGTGGAACACATGCGCGAACGTAAACGATTTTCGCAGCGCAGAATTCTACCTTCCGCGCTGAAACGTGCGACCATCACGGACGACGTGTGAGCGCGCCATTCATTCGCGAGAGTTTTTTTCATTCCTGATTTAACGCACTCCACCTCGGCACTCGCCTCGGGGTGAGTTCTTTCGAAAAAAAAGAACTCTTTCCCAAGATCTTTGTCACGCGACCTCACACACGTTCCGGAGAGACTCTAAGAGCGGCGCGTTTTATTAGTCCCCGAAACACAATAGACGTTGCGAGCCTCAAAAGCCGTGAGAAATGGACCAAACGCAGTTGAATTTGAAGAGAATAATCGATTATGATTGGTCAATTTCTTACGACTTAAAGGTCCATCTGCCATGAGAGTCGTAAGCCGTGAGAAATTGATCAATCACAGTCGAATACGAGAAGAATAATCGACTGTGATTGGTCAATTTCTTACGGCTTACCACTCTCATTGTAGACGGATCTTCAAGGCTTACTACACTTATTGTGTCTCGGGACTTACCTCGGGGTGTATCGATAACGACGCATCGCGGCTCTCGCAAAAGCTCAGCTAGAGGCTGGATCGTTTCCCGTAATCACGTAAACGGCCGGCTCGCGCGAATTCGCGAAACTCTAAGGAATTGGCTCTTTCCACGGCTGAGACATACCTCATGCGCGACTGCAAGATCCCGCATCTTTACATACTTCAGAACACACAAAGCTCATACCCGTTACAATATATGTATATATTTCATGTACTCAGGAAGACACGCGCGCTCGAAAACGTGAAAATATATATCGGGGTCTTTAAACCTTCGGTTTAAGCGCTTCTCGTCTCAAATGTGCGCCGCGATACATTCCTTCTCATAATCTCATACACGCGTGGTGCTCGTCGGGGGAATTGCTAACGTGATTCAGCGAGTATTTTGGTTTTTATCAGCGTCAAAGATTATTAGGTCGTCTGAGGATCTTTTTTTTTTTTTTTTCTTAATTTCTCTCATTTGTCGTGATCGAGGCTTGCGAAAGCCTCGGCCACTCTCTCGAGAAATAAATCTTGAGAAAGATAATAACAAAAACACGACGGTTAAGGCCTGCCGTTCAAGTTGGATATGTAACGTTTCTATCGAGTCATTTTTTTTTCTCTCTCTCCGTTGCAACGTCTCTCTCACACGCCAGGACTATTAATTTCACTCGCCTAAAAGAGATCTCATACCGTTTTCCACAGAGGCACACAAACACACGAGTTATTATTTACATGTTCACGCAAGCACACACCATTGAACGTCGCTCTCTCGCTCACCGGGCTCACGCACCACACTCGTATAAACATACATTCATACATACAGACATTTTGCATTCTTACTGTATATAAATTCCACCACTCTTATAGCCGTTCGCACATTCACCTATTTACACCACACACAGAGAAATATATATGTTCTCATATACGTAAAAATAACATATTCAAGGAATGTGAGAAAATATTGACATTCGCAATTAAAGCATTTATATGATAAAAATGGAGATAGACAGAAAGCTCGTAAGATAAGGTATTATCCGTATCCACAGTCGTAAAGCTTATCAGTTTTTTTTTCTTTTTTTTTTTAGCCGATTGTCTTTCACACGACATTCCATCTTCTACTTGAAAGATTTACACGTGTATTCATATCTGTACACATCTTCGAAAGTAAAGATACATAAAGACATTCACACACATGGCTACAATCGAAATTAAAAGTGATTCTTGATATAATGTTTGCAAACTAGATATTAATTTTTATTTTATCTGTAAGTTTTTTTTTTATTTTTCTCTTATGACTTCCAAGGTTAACACAAGGAAAAAAAAGAAAATAAATCCGCATTCATCAGCCAAAATAAAGATAAAAATTCATTCAGCTTATTTTTATGTCCAATTATATAACATAGGCAACGGTGCTGAATCAATTAATTGTATTTTAATGAACTCGATTAGGTCAATATTAGACTTATCAAATAAAAAAAGGGATAATCTTGCTAAAAAGCCATAAAATACGATAATAAAATTATTTTGATAACTTAATTATAAATTTTGCTATAATTTTTTCATTTTCGAAAATATGTACAGATTGAAGGCAGGTGTACTTGAAAGAGAGAGAGAATATGTCATTTTAGAAACAATATAGAAAGCAATTGTTTAACAAAATCAATTATAAATTTTTGTATCATTCTATATTCATCTATCATACACTCTATTTTTATTTTTAAAGTTGTAGCAATTTACGATCAATAATTGATTGTTAGCGGTGATATTAAATATAAATTTTACTATTCAGTTAATATCTCCAATAACAGAATATGTGAAAACTCTATTGACAAATAACTGAATTAAAAAAAATGTATAAAGAATTGCAGCACTGTTTCACTTTCTGACAAAAATACGAAATCTCCTTCAGTTATCTCCTATTGCCTTTAAAATGACTTATTCGCTCCCAAGTGCTTTAAATGTGCATCACCGATTTAACGTCCTTTCAAGATTTTCTTATACATTCGAGAAAGCGGTAAAAAGGTAGCAGAAAGAATCATAGGATCCGCAAGTGGGAGTTATGTTCTTACCTTACTGTTAGGAACCTTGACATCGCACCATCTGCCATCTATCATGTGACGTTGAGCGAGGCATCTCAACTGCGACTCATAACTTCCAAACCGTATAAAACCAAATCCTTTGCTTTGGCCGGATTTCGCATCTTTCTTTACCTACGACAGGATTTTAACTTTGATCTTTCATAGCCAGAGAGTACATAACACTGTGCTTATGCGAACAATATGTATTTTGCATTTCTATCGTTTGCACTTCAATAGTACACTTATTGATGCACGCATGAAACAGATAAATATTCACCTAATTACGACTATTTATTATAGTTTTTTATTCATTTATTGCATTCAATTATTTATTACAATTATAGTTAAATATTGTCAGTTTTGAATACTTTTGTTGTACTTAACAAGTTACTTAATAAGCATGACATTACTTTCTTACTTATCTAACGGATCAGTAGGCTTACGGGGATACAATAAAAATAATTATTAGTGCAGCAAGACGCGAGATCCAAGTGTTAGTGTTTCCAAAAGCCCAAGCGCAAAACTTGAGTAAACGCGGAGACTCACCTGTGCCATCAGTACTTCACCAAACGTTTCGAAATACTCGCGCAAGTTCTGTTCGGTAGTTTTCCACGGCAAACCAAGTACAATCAAGTCAGTGCAACGTAACTTCGTTTCCATTCTTTTAGTCTTAGCTGTGGAATTTTCCAAATTGTCATCAGATTTACGTTTGTTCTCTGAAAAGACATAATAGACGTTCACGCCTAACCGGCTCGTGATGATTTGCAGAGAGAAAAAAAAAAGTAAAAAGAATGGAGAAAGAAAAACGAAAATTGCAGAGAAAGAAATGAAAAAAAAAAAGAAAGAAAAACACAGTTTGAAGATATTTGATTCATACTAATTCTTTGACATTCGTCAAACGTGACATTTTTCGATTTGCCAACGAAGCCGATTCGAATACAGTCTTATGGGCCATAAAAACGTTATTCCATTTAGCCGATTAATATTCATTATAATTATTAATATTCATTATTATTAAATAGACAAATTAAAGTAGACGAACACATGGGAAAGCATCTCCGAAATGACCCAGCATCTCATCGAATGCAACAGATACACAATTAGAGGAATAATTGCTGCCCGACAGGATGTTTCGAGACAACTCGAGTTTCGAACTTCGAATCAACTTGATATCTTGTAATTCAACCGGCACAATTTCCAATCGCAATTCGTTTCTCCCCGAGATCTTTTTTTCTTTCCACGCGTCAAACGAGAGAGCCTGGATGAATTCCGTCCACGTTAGCAAAATATTACAGAAATTGATTGACAAAATGATTAAAGGAGTTCGAACGTAGGTCATCTCAGAGCATCGTTCTTATCGACCGGCTAGGCTCCAGGAGTCGAGGCGGCGGGTTCGCGCGCGGCGTCGCCACGGTGGGACAGGAGCGGTCCCGAGAGCGGTCTCGCTCGCGGTGTCCCGGTCCTCTCCCGTCCGTGAGGAGGGGGAGCATCATGGAAGCCGCGGAAGCGCCGGTCGCCGTCGTCCTCGCGATCAACCGATCTCACGATGACGACGGCGGCGGCGGCAGGTCGGCTTCTTCGACGTCGACGCCGCGAGCGCAGCGCCACCACGTTAAAAATACCGCGCGGGTGGACGCGGGACGGGGAGGGGGAGGGGGAAGGTACGCGCGCGCGCGCTCGCGCGCGTATGTGTGTACGCGTAACTTATAAAATTTTTGTTTTTTGTACCTTTGGGAAATACGCAGAAGTAGATCGCCTTGCCCCAGCCGTTCTCGGGCGGATGCAGACGGCCGTCGACCAGCCGGACGCCGCGCATCGTACGGGACTCCGGATTGCGGTACTTGAGGCCGCAGGTGCCGGGGAACTGGGCGGACAGGGTGGTGAGCAGGAGCGTGGTGTCGTCCTCGGTCGGCAGCTCGATCGGCTCCTCGCCCTCGTCCTCGGCTACCTGGATGTAGGACGACATCGTGGCGACCTAGGCTTGTCTCTCGTCGTCGACGACACGCGAGCTGCGATCCCCTCGCCAATCGGACGGCGACACTGCTGCTGCCGCGGGTGCTGCGACCGCTGTTGTCTGTGTCTCTCCGGCTTGGGTCTCTCCCTCTCTCCCTCGCGCTCCCTGCGCGACGCGTGTTCCCCTTCTTTCTCTCTCTTTCTCTCACTCACTCTTTCTCTCTCGCTCGCTCTCTTTCTCTCTCGCGCGTGCGTTCTCTTTCTCTCTCTCTCTCTCACTCTTTCTTCCTCTCGTTTCTCCCGATACTCCGCGACCCAGGTCGTTTTTTTTCCCTCGCCCGCTTCGTGTTCGGCGTATTATTCACCCGAAAAGGCGGAGGGCACGGGGAACCTTGCGAAACTCGCTCTCTTACGCTTAAAACAACACAACAAACACACACGCGCCACGACTCGCTCGCACCCAGTCACGCAACCACCGCACCTCTTTCTGCCTCTTTCTCCGATTCTCTCGGCTCTCTGACGACGTCACGACGGCGGGTCGGTCGGTCGGCTCGGCGGCGGTGTGTCGCCGCTGGCGCCACCGGAAGCGGCGCGGCCGCGCCGACCGACGTGATCTGGAAAATTCCACTTGGCGACGCGATCCCACGGGCGATTAGCTCCCCGCTCCGCGGGCCGGTATCCGCTCGACGATCCGTCGTGCCCGCGAGCGACTCGCGACGGCGAGAAATCGGATCGCAACGATCTCGCGCGCCCTACGATCTCTTGTCGCGCGCGGCGTGCGGCGCGCGGATCTGGATGCTCGTCGCGGATCAGCGTCGCGCCGCGGCCGGGCGCGTAGGAATACCACCCGTCGAGCGCGCCGCGCCGCGCCGCGCGCAATCGGCGCAATGGCGCCGGTCGACCGACCGCGCGCCATCGATTTTCCGGCGTGCGGGACACGCCGGATGACACGCGCCGCTTCCCCGGCGACGGGAAAGCCGCGCGCCGGCCCGCAAAATGGTACGGGACAGCCGCATTTTTTTGCACCGCCCGTGTCGTCGCAAACGGATTAATTATTAACAATGAAGGGCGAACCAGCGATATTAATTAGTCTGCGTCTTTATGAGATATACGATTACCAGGTAAAGGATCTTGAATTTTTGTTTGATAATGATTGTCATTGAAGCAAGGAAAATTTTAAGAAACTGGTATATATCTTGTTAACTTGAATTATCGTTGTGTGAGTGCGATTTGGCGAGTTTTGTTATCGACTGCGAAGTTTATAAATTTCTATGATAACGACGCGAACGAACGCATTGAACAGTTCCGATTGTAATTTTGTGATGGCGCCACAATAAATATTTACCTGGAAAAAAAAGTTCCACATGTAATTACTTATATATAATTATATACAAAATATGTCCAAATGTTTTTTACCTTTGTAAAATTATTCTTTAATACAAAATTGATAATAAGAAGAAGGAAACATAAAAAATAATTAAAAGAATAATTTTTATATTGTTTTTTGTTTACAAAAAATAAAGTTTGAAGAAATGAGAAAAATTGCTTATATATATAATCATATATAAGTGATTAAAAATATACAGATATAATTATATATGAACAATTTTTCTCAAACTTTCTTCAAACGTTCTTCAAACTTGATTTTTTGTAAAAAAAAAAACAATGTAAAAATTATTCTTTTAATTATTTTTTATATTTATTCCTTATTATTATTATTAATTTTGTGTTAAAGAATAATTTTACAAAGGAAAGAATTATATATGAACATATTTTGCATACCTATAATTACATATATAATATTATACGGAACTTTTTTTCCCGGTTATGTTCAAATAAAAGTAAAGAATTAGGGTTTGCAATCAGCACAATAAAAATAATAAGGAACAAACAAGTGAACATAAAAAGTTAGGCAAAAGTCAAAATAGGACGAAAAATCTCACTCTGTCTGTCTCTAACTTTTTTCTAATTCCTAATATTTAATTCTCTTTTCCTTATTCCTTTTTATGTCTGACTCCTTATAATATATTTTCAAGTTAAAACATTTATCCCAAAATTCTCTATTTTCCCGAAATAGATATTAAAGTCAAGACATTTTTGAAATCCATGAAGCTTCAAGAAAATTTTAAAGATCTACGAAAGCTAGTTACGTTTTTTTATTTATTTATGTTATTGTATTAATTGTTATATTTTTAACAAATGTTTTATATAATCTCTTACTCTTATTCTATTTTTATTTAAAAGCTTGCCAAATCGAATTCATTTACATCTTGTGTTACAATTCGAATTCTATATTCGTAAATAAATTAATTGTCTCGATATTTATCAATAATTTTCTAAGAGCAATTGGCATATCAGCATATAACACATATAAGCGCGAATTTTAATTTAACCTTCCGCGGAATTTGAATTCAAGTCCTGTTAATACAGCCGTATATAAAAGTGCAGGTGACGTGGCAATTCAAATTAAATGAAACCTAATCGTCGGCAAATCTCACGCGTAATTCTTGAAAACTGCGTGTACGATTAATTAATGTCTCGCGATGTGTCAATTTCTATCGAGAGACCTTTACTACTAGTGGCAATTAAACATACGCACGATGACATACATCATCACTTCCCGTGGCAAAACAGCAAAGTATATAAATGAGTATAGCGTTTAAGTCTTCGATTAATTGTATACTACTTATTACGCGTCGAAAACAGCTAGATAATGTGTTGAAAAATACATCCTTTAGATTTTAGATAAAAATACATCCTTTTAGATTTTAAATAATACTGTCGCAAAAGTGGCATTTCAATAAAGTTAGAAAAACAATATTAAATACAATAAATCAATCTTCGAGTCATAAATGTAAATAAAATAATATATTACTAATGAATTTATAATTAAAGGTATGTACGTTTATAGATAGATAATAAATGTATTTTTATTTTTTAATTATAAAGTTATTAATAATGTAATAAACTAGTTTGTTACATTGATACTGTTCAAACTCATCATTAAACCTGGCCGCGCGATTACTAGAAAAAATGAGCGTTCCCAGCGATGTTTTCTTTCGGACCAGATGCGCGTTTTTGTTTCGCATAAACAAGCCGAGATGACAAACATCCGGGGACCAGATGTTTTCGGCGACAACATCTGGTCAGTTGTCAGCTGATCACCCCGTGACAGTCAGCTGATCGGACTGATTTCCTGTTTTCAAAAAGGGAAAAGAATGCTCGGTGACTTGACAACAACTCGAGTATAAAAACCCGAGGTTTTCGGGTTTTTGCCTTGTTGTCGTGTCTTTTCGCTGTCATCCGGAGGCACACGTGTCCGCATCTCAATTCGATCGTTTGGCGCTAGCGCGGTTTACCCGATTGTAGAAATTACATCGCGTCGACACCTTCGAACAGTTGCGGGAGTGCACTACTTGTTAATTTTCTGTACGCTTTTCCAATTCTTAAATATACGTGTTTCGTCCCCTCAGCAAAGTCTCTCTTTTCTTTGTGCCGTGTCGTCTCTCCCACGAACCTGAGTCGCGTTCAAGACAGATACATTTAAATTGATTCAAAGATTGATTTAATGTTGTATTTAATAATAGTATTTGATATGTATTTAACAATAATTTAATAACTCGAAATTATTGGTTTGCAAAATTCTCGTTGCACGAAGGATTCTCTCGATTCTTCGCGTATGCGATCAGCGTCGACTTTTCATTCATAAAAAGATCGCGTTTGATGTATTTTTACTGTAAAACAATATTATAATACAAATAAATCTTTGAATCAGTTTAAATATAATGAAATAATATATTAATAAATTTATAATTAAAAATACATTTATTATGTCTATAAATGTGTCTTCAATTATAAATTCAATTATTTGTAGTATATTATTTCGTTACATTTATGATAGAAGATTGATTTATATTTAATATTGTTTTACATCAGTAAATACAATACATCAAACATGATCATTTTATAAAAGAAAAGTTAACACTGATCGCACACGTGAAGACTCGAGAGAGAATCCTTCGTGCAACGAGAATTTTGCAAGCCAATAATTCTGAGTGTGAAAGCGATATTGTCTAACCGCGAGCAACGATGATTAATTAAACTAGAGTCGAGGTTAATTGACGTTGATGAAATTGATCCACATTACCGGAACTTAATGAGCCCCGCGCAGTTTCAACCGGAGAGTAACCGATCGCTCGACGCTCGCTAAATAAATCGCCCGACGACGCTTACTATAATCGCTCGGTGTGTTACATTTCATCAATTATCAATTGGCGATTCGATTATATCTTCGTAAAAATGAAATGAGACACGCACGTTAACTTCGAGATTAATACTTGTAACGCATGTTACTCTTCAGACATGTAATTCTGTCGTATCCTTGTCATATCCAGGAAAAGAAAATCGAATAACTCGCACGTGCTTTGAGGTGTAATATTTGCAGCATAAATTGCATATTACTCTTCAGACACGTGACTGTTACACAGTAGAAAACATTTTGTATTTATGTTAGAAACGGTTCACTCGGGTTGTTTGTTAAAATTTTGTGCTACATATTTTTAACATATTCGAGTGTTAATTTAACATAATGTGATGTTATTTAAATATTTTGTATTAAATTGATATTTAACGTTTTTTAGTGTCAAAATAACACAATTTATAAGTAAGTGAACAAATGAAAAATAACGTGTTTTAAAACGTAAGTAAAGATATGAATAAGATACATGTTAACTTAACATATCATAAATGTTAATTTTGTTGAAAAAATATGTTTCCACAGTTTACCTATAAATTTTGTCAGTGTTACATTTTTTGTGTTATTTTTTAAATATAATATTTACTTTTAATTTAATATAATATAATATTGTTACTTTCTAATATTGATCTCATGTTATAGTATTTAATATAATAGTTGTTACTTTCTAATATTCATCTTACGTTAAATTAACACAAAAATTTAAGTTTGGGACCGTTTGGGACATGTGAAATGTGTTAAATATAACACAAATTTTCCAACAGTGCAGGACGCGTTCGGTTGATGCTGTCCCAAGAAGGAGGAAGAAACTGTCGTCGGATATGGTGAGCGACTTTAAGAGCCACCCCGCCGTCGCGATCGAGAAGAGATCTCGTAGAAACAAGAGTCGCGCTCTAAGCAGCGGAGATCGATCGAACGTGCACGCGCGATTGAAGCGATTCTCAGGGGAATTGTCATTGACTGCTGAATACTTGCGCAGTCACCACGCCGCTTTATAGTCCCGGCTGCGTAAGTAGTTTTGGTGTCACGAGGCACGGCCTTTCGAATTACTCGCGCCGGCGAGATAACAGTCATTCCCTCGGACGCGGCTATCTATAGAAATCCACCGAGCGAGTGTTAAAAACGAGAGGCGGCGACTGTGCCGAATGCCTGAACGCCTGAAATCGGAGTCGAAGTTATTCATCAGGAAGAGAGAGAGAGAGAGAGAGAGAAGAATCGGAGTTCCTTCGGGACGTTCTAGGAACGCGTCTTTCATTCAGCTGTACGTCTCTCGCGCTCTGGGAAAACTCGTTCTCTCCCGACTGCAGTCCGCAATGTAAACTGGCAGCGGCAGCGAATGTAAACCTGCTCGCGCGTTGTCTTTCGCGCTTATCACGTCTCCATCGACTTTCCGGTCCGAATTTCATACGGTTGCGCAACAGATATTCGGCCGAATATCGTCCAAATTTATACATATATATGTCCCGCGGTGTCCCATATAGTAAGTATATTAGATTTCGAAACGTTGACATCCCCACTCGACGTGAACGACAGCTAAATGAAACCTGTGTTCTGATGAAGACGAGATATCGCGTTTCTCGCTCAAACGATACATATAACATGTTCAAACGAATCGGCATGCTGTCCAATTATAAATGCGACAATTAATATTCGGCCGATTTACTATCCGCGACTATACATATGTATATACAAAACGCGTACACTGTTGCGTAACTTGACATTTACAACACGAACCAGGGCGATCACCCATTCAATGAGGTCTTTTTTTTCCTTCACCGCGGGATACCGCGGATTGCGCGCTCGTCGAGGATCGTATCGCCGAGGGAACGAAGAAGAAGAGGTTTTCGAAACGACGAGTGTCGGTCGGTCGGTCGGTCGGTCTCGCTCGACCTGGGACGGCCGGGGGCAAAGACGGGGGTAGGGGAGGGAGGGGGGGGGGACGAAGGTGGACGATAATACCATCGCCATGCGAACCGCTGTGTACGCGGGTATATACGAGCGTGCACACGTCGACGACGACGACGGACGGGGCACGCACGCACAGGTGGGGCTGTGTATATCCCACCTGCGGAGGACCCAGGCGCAGCGTGTCTATACCCGCGATGAGGATGATGCCCCGTTCGGGTGGGAGGAATTTAGGTTACTCGTACCACTAGGGAATGTGGGCCGACTATATACCGGCTCATCGCGACCGTCCGCCAGTTCATTCCTTCCCCGTATTTCCGATTCGTCGGATCCAGCATCACCAGCCCCAGGGATTCTTCTTCCTCTCGTCACTAACTGCCGTCGTCGTCGTCGTCGTCGTCGTCGTCGTCGTCGTTGTCGTTATCGTCAATTACAATAGCGCTCTTCTCGCTCGGCTCGTCTTTAGGTAAACTTTCTGAGCAGCGGGAGAGGCGGCAAAGAGCAGGAAGAGGACTTCGTCGACTTCGAAACCTCATCGCATCTTCGAGGACCGCTGCTTTAAGTCAGTAAGTAATTTTATTTTACTCGAGGACTACATGAGTTGACGTTTCGACGTTGTGCACGGCATACCAATATTATAATTTCAGCAGGGAAACGGTCGATAATTTTTCTATCTGAATAATTTTCATGTGTTCATTTCACATGTTGAAGAATAACGATAATTTGAACGATAATTTAAAAAAAAAAAAGAATTTTTATTTGGGGATTTCAATGCGAGAATGAAACGGTTGTATATAATTTATATTATTTATAAGATACTTTTCTTACGCTTTCGACGTTTTACTTGTAATCGAAAGAAATTTTTGCATTATTTAATATTTTAATTTCAGAAATTTTCTATAATTAGTCACAAATTAATGGTCGATATTATATGTACGTATCTCTGTTTTTTACATTGATTGACGATGATGGAAATGTGCAAGGCATAAAGTGCATCTTTCTGTGCAACATCGAGCGTTGAACTCTCCGCGATTTACCGGTTTTAAGTCCTGATTTTATCAATGCGTGTACATTCCCGGAATTATAAGATCTTCAGAATGAGTCACAGATGGGAAAATCTGTGACGAGCTTTGAATTGGCAGCGCTAACTTGCCGAAGATATGACATAATCATTAACGCGAGCCCGGGAAATTCCTGCCTTTGTTTAGAACCTTCCCTTCATTTCGGAGGCGCGAGAGAATAATAGACGTTGCGCCAATGATTTATGAGCTTTTGTTATTTTAATGCGGTTAAAAGTTACCTTAACTCTCTGACGTGTGCAATTCAATTCTTGATTTAGAGAGATAATGTGAGGTGTTTTATTTCAATTTCGGAAGTCGTGCTACTTTGAAGTAGATTAAAAAAATCAACGGATTCCTTAGTTTTCACATTAGAAAATTAAAAGCATAATTGTCTATCTAATCGTATAATTCTAAGCGCATCTAATGCAGGCTGTTTCACACTTGATGTTAATCTTAATGGCAAATTTTCTGATAAATTAAATGTCGATGTGTAAAAAAATCAACGAATTTCTTACTTTTCACACTAGAAAATTAAAAGCATAATTGTCTATAGTCATATAATTCTAAGCGAATCTAATGCAGACTGTTCTACACTTGATGTTAATCTCAACGACAAATTTTCTGACAAATTAAATGTCGATGTCCCCTCGTGAGGAAAATTTCGAAAAAGCTTACATGTTGCAATTTTTTAATATCCAATAATTATATTCTACGTGTTTAAGTTTTAAGCTGAAAGTCTCGAAAAGTGCAGTGCTGTTCCCGATAGCTACATACCGTCCGTTATTAATTTTTAGATAGTGAAACCGCCTCTGATGTGTCTTATAATTATGTTAATAATGGGTAGAAAGGTGGGACAATATTATTATTTTTCTGCCGACGGAGGTCTGTTAATGAAGAAAGTGCGTAATTAGAAACGATATTCGTACAAAGAGCACGAATTAGACAAGTCTGTCATTAGTCAGCCTATTATTCAGCCTAATTTGACGAAAAATTTTTCAATGCAATCTTAAACCGTAAATAATTTGACAAATATGCTCTTTCTCCCGGACTTTTTTTTCCCTCTTGCCGATGACTCACAATTAGTGGGACTTTCTTAATCTCTCCGTTTCACCGCTTTTAATCTGTAATATCCGTGTTGGAGATAAACAAATATAATAACTCGCATCAGGAGATACGAGAGATAAATATATTCTCGCGTTTATCCTACATCTCGCACGACGTCTCGACGGCCGCACGATTCATCAGCGCGCGATAAGTAAAGGGTCGCTCGTGAAAGTTTATAGGTGCCAAGGTGCCGCGCGCAGTCCTGGGAGTTGTGGCTATAACGGATCCGCTCGATTTCGCATCCGACAGCGGGGTAATTTTCACGATGCCTTACTACGTACATCGCGCGCAAAAAAACTTGTAAGCTATTATACATGTAAAATTGAGGGGGCATTGATTTGTCGCGATTCAAATTAAATTTCGTACACCGGCATCCGAAAATTTCTCCCAATAAAATTTTGACGACACATCGCTTTATCGAGGAATTTTGTTACGTCCGATTTTTATCGTCCGATTTATGGACGGCGAGCAAATACGAGCGAACTCGCGCAAGCTAATCGTGCGAAACGAGCGAAATCGGATCGGAGCGAGCATCATACCGGAGCGCTGCATCGTTGACCCTGAACGATCTTCTTCTTCATCGTCTCGATGGCCGCGTTTCGCGAGGCATCTTCGAAACTGGCAGTCAGCCCATCATCTCTATAGTTATGCGTCCCTATTTCGATTGCATTCGTCCTGTTTCCGCAAGTTTTCTTCGCTAATCTCAAACGTTGAGGAGGCACTCGAGTAGAACGCGATGCTTATCAATCTTTTACGAACGACGGAATAGCTTTTGGATGTTAAGAAGAATTAGGGGGCGTCTGAATAAACGCGGATAATAAGAGTAGATTGATTTAAGATTAAGCTTCACATTTGAAAAAAATAATTTCAGTAAAATAAAAGAGTAATTTTAACAAAGACAAACAATATTTAATAAGATTTAAGAAGAATTTACTAATATAATGCTTCTACTTATAATTCTTTAATAAAAATAAAATTCTATATTCGAGAGATAGAAACAATAAATGAGCTATTTTTAAAATATTTTAAATAGCCCATTTTTTTAATTATCGGTGAAATATTAATTATATTCATTAATAAAAAATTACATCGTACGGTTAATGAGATCTTTTTACATGTCGTAACTACAATAACTATACGCTGCGAAATTGTTTTCATCATCTTATGAGTTTCAAAAATTTATTCCTCGGTCATTAACCGATCTTACTTTATGAGCTAATAGTCCGAGCGAATAAAAATTCCTTGAATTAATGAAACGTTATTTCGTCCGGAACACGTGAAATTGATGCTGGAATATTTAGGTACGTCGGTCGTTTACGTTGCTCAGATCAACTACGAAAAAAAAAGAAAGAAATATTTACGTACCTCTCACCGAGGGGGATTTAAGGCTCTTAACGATGATCTTTCGAAATATACGCTTCATTTCGTACCAGGAAAGTTTCTTGACATTTTACCCTTTTTCAACTGCGGCACGTACCAGATGAGATATGCGATTACATAAACGATCGCGCGCGGATTACACGCGTCCCGCATTTCTTCAAAATGCCTTTTTTTAATTATTAGTTTATTTATTTCGTTACACGCGTACGCGGGACATGCGTTATTTACGCGAGGCAAATTCTTTTTCGAGTACTCCCCTAACGATCCACGTCACCTTTGAATTGTCTCCTTTCACTTATTCCCATTATTTGTTACTTCATCCAACGATAGATTTAGGCCCGATTTCACAATTCACCGGTCAACGCTCGATTTAACAACCGAAAGACAATTCGCTTTATCTTCTTCTAACTGAAAGAATTAGAAAGAGATAAACAGTAAGTTGAATCGAGATTAAAGTCAATTTTACATTTGTGGAATCTTACACGGAAAGAACAATTTTGCTGAATTCAGATCTGAAAATAATTTTTGTTCAATAATCAAAATAATTTTGTGCAAAATTCAATAAAAAATTATTTTCAGATCTGTATTTAGCAAAATTTTTAGACCTTTCAACAAAATCGTTCTTTGCGTGTATAAAAAGGATTTCGCCGCATTTGATAACACATGTTAATAGAACTCGAGATAAGAGATCTCCTTTCCGTCGTCAAATTCCTATAAATAGCCGATGCGGAATTCGACGACGGTGTAAGGCCGTCTTCGTCGAAACCGTCACGTTCCTCTGCTGCAGAGATAAATACTTTGCGCTTTTAAGATAACTACACGATAATTGCGACGATCTTGCACAAAGCGAACGCGCGTGGAAAGCGTACACGATTGTACACTTGGCTTTATCAACGTGGATTTCGACACTTTATGTGGGTAACGAGTCAAACGTTGACACGTCAACGGGAGCTCATTGTTCACGCGAAGCAAAACAAAAGGGAGGAGATTAAATGCCCGTTGTTGTGAAGTCGCCGGTAGTCGCGAGAGTGAAAATTATCGTCGAAGGATCTCACGGGTCCGTAAACGGGCCTCCTCGAGTGCCCTTCGATTTTGTCGGCGAAACGTCAGCCGAGAGACGCTCTTAAGAAGTCGATGACGTTATACCAATTTCTTTCTCTCAGTTCCTTCTTTAATTGTCGTCACGTTAAATAGGTATTGTATTCTCCATTCAAGAAGGATGTTCGAGATTTTTCTCACCCCGCGCTGAATTACGGTGCCGACTTTGAAATAATTTAAAAGCACAAGTTTACACCAGCGAGGTAATGCGAGAGTGTAAATGTAGAAAGTCAAGAGTTTTGATACCAATACGCATAGCGTTCCACATATATGGCACATGCTAAAGAACGGTACTCCGCTCCCTCACTATACCGTACCGCGATATACCTGTATCCAAATGTATATATATATAATAACACACATATACACAATATATATATATATATAATTACTTGACACGAAAGTAAAATACAGTATATTGTATAAAGATAACGGTGGCGGCCGTTTCAATATGAGGGTTAAAAATGAGCGCAATAAAGAACTGTGTCAAACACAGATATAACGAGTGTGATTTTAGCCTAATGGAATGGTAATTTCGCGTGGTATCTGTCATTACGAGATCATCACCCAAAAACCGAGAGACGCGCGCTGGGTGTAATAATTAAAAACCGAAATACTCGAGATCGCTACACGGAAAGAACGATTCTGTTAAAAGGTCTGAAAAATTTTAATGAATACAGATCTGAAAATAATGTTTCTTGAATCGTCAAATAAATTTGTTGGAATGTTAAAATTGAGCATTACTATAAAACAGTACTATAAAACGTTTCGATATTCGAGCAATCATTTTAACTTTCGCACCAAATTATTTCGAATGTTAAAATGTTGGAATGTTAAAACTGAGCATTACTATAAAACATTGATATAAAACGTTTCGATATTCGAGCAATCATTTTAACTTTTGCACCAAATAATTTTGATTA